ATAGAGTTGTAGTCTTTCCAGCTCTCCTGTCTATAATATGGAAATAATAATTTTGGCTAACTTGGCAGGATTGAATTCATCAGGTAAGTTTAGTGGGATGAGCTTTGAACTTATAAACTCACACATGCTGCCTCAATTGGGAGGCAAGGAGGGGGAAAATGATGAAACATGCATTGTGATATCACAATGTAAACTCTACTCCTATAAAATACAGAATAACAGAGTTGGAAGTCATCTAGTCCAACGCCCTGGTCAGGCAGGAAAAACTATACCATTTCAGACAAATGTTGTCCAATCTCTTCGTAAAAACTTACAGTGTTAGAACATTCACAACTTGTGGAGGCAGGTTGTTCCACTGATTAATTGTTTTAACTGTCAGGAAATTTCTCCTTAGTTCTAGGTTGCTTCTCTCCTTGATTTGTTTCCAACCGTTGTTTCTTGTCCTGCCTTCAGGCCCTTTGGAGAATAATGTGACCCCCTCTTCTTTGTGGCAGCCCCTCAAATACTGGAATACTGCTATCATGTCTCTCCTACTTCTTCTTTTCTTTAGACTAGCCAAACCCAAGTCTGCAGCCATTCTTCATATGTTTTAGTCTCCAGACATTTGGTCATTTTAGTTGCTCTTCTCTGATTTTTTTTCCAAACTCTCAATATCTTTTTTGTGATATGATGACCAAAATTGACTGCAGTATTCCAGATGTGATCTTACTAGGGTTTTATAAAGTGATACAAATACCTCGTGTGATCTTGATTCTATGCCTCTGTTTATACAACCCAGGATTGTATTAGCTTTTTAGGCTGCTGCTGCACACTGCTGGTTCATGGTTAAGTGATCGTCCATTAGGACTCCAAGGTCCCTCTCACAGTTACTGTTTTTAAGCCAGGTCTTGCCCAATCTGTACTTGTACCTTTGATTTTTCCTACCTAAATGTAAAGATTTGCTTTTCTCCATATTGAAACTCATTTTGTTGGATAAGGCCCATTGTTCAAGTTTGTCAAGATCTTTTTGGATTCTGAGTTTGTCTTCTGAGGTGTTGGCTACTCCTGCCAGTTTGGTGTCATCTGCAAATTTGATGAGTTCCCCTTCAATTCCCTCATCTAAGTCATTGATGAAGATATTGAAGAGTACTGGGCCTAAGACGGAATCTTGTGGTACCCCACTGCTTACTTCTCTCCATGTGGATGTAGTGCCATTGAGTACTACTCATTGAGTACCGTTTGTCAGCTAGCTATAGATCCATCTGGTGATGATGTTGTCTATTCCACCTTTTTTTAGCTTACTAGGGAGTAGGTTGTGGTTTACTTTATCAAATGCCTTACTGAAGTCTAAGTATTACTACGTCCACAGCATTTCGCTGGTCTATTAGTTTAGTCACTTTGTCAAAGAATGAAATAAGATTGGTTTGACATGATCTGTTTTTAACAAACCCGTGCTGGCAACTAGTTATAACTTTGTTTGTTTCTAGTTGTTCGCAAATCTGTTTTTGGATTATCTTTTCTAGGATCTTCTTAGGTATTGATGTTAAACTGATTGGTCTGTAGTTTCCTGGGTCCGTTTTTTTCCCTTTCTTGAAGATGGGAACCACATCAATCCTTTTCCAATCCTCAGGTACTTCCCCGGTGCTCCAGGATTTTTGAAAGATGTGGTGCAATGGTTCTGAGATAACATCTGCTAGCTCCTTCAGAACTCTGGGATGTAATCTGTCAGGCTCCAGTGATTTATATTCGTCAAGGTTGGATAGAATTAAGTCCAGTATGGCTTTACGTCTAGTTCCCTCCTCCACCTTTTGGATGACAAAGTTGTCGGTTAGGTTGGTTAGGAATCTGTTTGATCACCCGCTTGCTGCAGAGTTTGTCTCCCAGTTGATATGTGGATAGTTGAAATCTCCAATTACTACTATGGTATGCTTCCTACATACATTTGTTAGCTGGTTGGCAAAGAGTTCATCTATTTCTTCTGATTGGTTGGGTGACCTGTAATATACGCCTATGGTAATGTCACTTTTTTCCTCTTTTATATTGACCCATATATATTCTGGAGAGATTTTATCTTGGATCATGTGCATTTCTGTAGATATGTAGTATTCTCTTACATATAGTGCAACTTCCCCTTCTCTTTTTGTAGACCTGTTTCTTTTGAACAATTTGTATCCATCCATCAGTCCATTCCATTCATGGGTTTCATCCCACCAGGTTTCTGTAATGCCAACTATGTCATAGATAGATAGATAGATAGATAGATAGATAGATAGATAGATAGATAGATAGATAGATAGATAGATAGATGGATAGATGATAGATAGATAGATAGATAGATAGATAGATAGATAGATAGATAGTTTAATGTTACTTTGTTTTATGGAGTTGTGCATTTGTCCTTTCTTTGATCCTAAACTGGAGTACATTTTAATGAAAACTTGAGTACAGTTTAATGCCCAGAAATTAATGGACAGGCATAACTTCTTTGGTGAGGGAAGCAGAACATATGTTATGCTTACATAAAATCAAGAATTTGAATTCTCTGTTTCTGAGATTTCTGCTGGCAAGCCAAGGACAGGCGTCTGGCTGAAACATCTGAGAGGCAATAACAGTCAGAGTAGATTATTCAGATCTGGTGGCAGAAACAGGAACATCTTTCATTTATTTATAACCTGGACCGAGGCTTAAGGAACGCAAGAACAGCCTTGCTAATAATCTAAAGAAAAGGCAACTCAGAATGCATGCACATATGTGATAGTGAGAAGGGAAAACTTTAGTTGAATCCTTGTCTTTGATTCTACTTGAATGGGGCTTTTTTTTTTTTTTTGCTGGATTTTCCATTTCAGGCGCATATAAAAGGAACCAGGCAAAACATACCAGTGAAAGATTTATTGGTGCAGCCATATCCTTCCTATTACATTCAGAAGAGTTGTACTGGGGTCTCTGCCCCGACAGTTCAGATTTGCTACACAGGGCACAATGGAGGTCACTGTCTGTGGGTGGGGTAGGCTGGCAGCCAGCTGGGAATGAATAGAGGAATATATGTATGGCCTCATGACAATCCAGCCCTCAACAGGTAACCCCTGAGGTAGGTGGGTAGGGACAGCCTCCATTTTAGTAACAGAGAGAGGCAGTGGAGCAGAGTGGTGCCATGAACCAAATTCTTATGTCATATGGTTTGCTGCCTCACTAGAGGCAAGAGTCAGGGTTGACCTTTTGTGTATATCTTTTATTCCACTTACATACAACAGATTTATGGAACAGGACTTCACAGTTCACTAGAGTCCCTGCTTAATGACCCAGTAGGATAGCACTGCTGGAATCTTGCACTGAACGTGTGCTGCATGGTGTCTGGGCATATGTTTGGCCTATGAATCAAGCACAAATGCAATGTACATGACTGAATGAATGCAACTGAAAAGGGAGCAGGCTTTTCAGATTCTAAAAGTTCAAATTTAGCAAACAAAACCAATGCATCTTTCATGCAGTTTAGCTTTGTCACAAAATCTGATCTTTATATGGCAACTGTAGAAGAAAGTAGCAGGATTAAATTAAAAGAAAACTAGGCAGTTGTCAGGGGGAGATACAAGGGTGATACGGGCCTGAGAAAAAGGCAGAAGGTTTTAGGGTCAGGTAAAATCCAGGAGCTAGAAACTATTGCTTTGACATATCAAAAGGCAAATGAAGACAATCCTTTATCCCAATAGAAAGCTTGTATAATACAGTGCTTCAAAACTAAAAATGCAGAATATTTTAGCTCTCCCTCAGAGATATCTTATTCATTAATTGTCAGGGCCAAGCCATCAGTAGGTTTTCTGGAGAAGTGACTCTGTTGACCCAGCTAGGGCTCCTTAAAGAAATACTAAAATGAGTAATGCAATGACCATGGAGAGACTAAAAAACAAAGCAAGAGGAGCAATGAAGGTAAAGCATGGAAGACTACTAAGTGGAAAGGAAGTGACTGAGTATAACAAACAGGCTTGGTGGATCAAAATAATTAACTAGATTAGGTTTCAGCCTTAGCTTCTGAGATTCCTAGTTGCCTGGTTGCATGTTTGACTTTCTTTGCAAGAGGGGAGAAAAACAGCATGAGAATAGTGTAAAATTTGGGGGGATGATCTCACTTAGAACCATATCCATCATTCAATTTTCACTCCATCATTAGTCAGTTTGTTCCTGGTATCCAGCCCGCACCATCAAATTTTACCTGCACTTCTTCCTTCCCTGTGTAAATGGATTTCCTTCCTAGATCACCTCAACACTTTGGACAACCGAAGAAAAAGCAAACATAGGCACAGTACTTGCCCAAACTGATGCACGTGCCCACGAATATTGCACAAATACCACATTCCACTTGCTGAGCACATCACGGTACTGAAAACCTTGCTGGTACACACTGCAATTTGTGGTCTCCAACCATCCTTATTGCCATTCCTCAAAAGGAAAGGATCAAAGGTTCCCATAAACATGAAATCCCAGGCAAGGATATCATGCAGAAGAGTAGATGAAGCCCGCTCTCTTAAACAATCAATAAATAAACACCAGCTATTCTTCCACTTCCTGCTACCACCCCAGAAAACTTAATTCTGAAAGAAAAGCATTGCCCTTAACATTCGAGAAGGTTTACTTGCCTCTTCCTTTTTTTAACCTGCTGCTATTTTTCCAACTGCAAAACAGTTTAATCTGCTCGACTTCTCTAGACAGGAGACTAATAACAACTGGCTAAGATGTCTATGTATTCAGGTCAATATATGGCACAGCACTACAACAAGGTCTGTTCAGTAGGAGCGTGGGTGCTAGTGGCTGGAATTATATTCTGTGTCTGTCCATAAGAAGGCAGCAACTCCTCTTGCTCTGCTTGCCCAAGTTCTCTTGTGGTCTGGAGCTTCTGGGAGGGTTGTGACTCAGCTGCCAATTGGACTAGAACTATGATCAGTTCAAAAGCCACTGCAGGAACAGCACGAGGAGAACAGCTTATCCCACAATGCCAGGAAAGAACCAGTAGCCATATAGCAGCCTGCTCATACTGGCATGTGAAGTTCATTGTATTCATCTCGCCCATCTTCATCGAAGTTTGGCTCTGCATCCTCTAAGTCTAGCTGCAAGTGAGAGGGAAGAGAGGAATAAGTATCCATTCAATTACAGTGGGTGCCGCTGGGGAAGTTGGAGGATGGTCGAGAGATATCATGGAAAATGCATATCTGCTATTCTAATGCAGTGAGGAAGGCAAAAATTAAATTGCTTGTTCTTCCTCTTCAAGTGGTACTTGTGCGGCACACTTTATAAAGCATATTATCCATTTGACAAAAGTAAATGTGCACAACGGTCAAATAAAGATTAGTTCTCTTAGCATCTTACCGCTTTCAGTTCTCTTTCATGGAAGAAACGTGGCAACAGGTATCGCCGTAGAGGAACTGTCATGATCAGGACAAATGGGAAAGCCAATGATGCCACAGTGGACTTTACCACCCAAAGCAATACAATGCAGGCTAGTTGGATGCACGTGAAGAGATTCATTCGCCAAGTCTTCACCTGAAGGAGAAAAAGGTGTTAAAGAAATCTTGTGCACAAAAGCAACAACAAAAGAAGGTTCATAACAAAAAAAATGGATCTTGGGAATAATAATAACATCATGAAATATCAAATTCTGCCTATTCTATATCCCTGGGAAGGACTCGATAGATGGATAAAAATGCCAAATCCAGTCTGAACATCTGGCTGACTGTGATGATGATGATGAAGATGGCGATAACAATAACAATTAAGGATCCGATAGGTAGACAAAAATGCCAAATCCAGTCTGAACATCTGGCTGACTGTGCGATGATCAATAATAATAATAATAATAATAATATATGGTGCTTGAGTCCCTGTAACTCTCAGGGAAGAAAATTACAGGAAGAAGATAACAGGAATAGAAACATCAGATAGTAACTATTATTAAAACACACAGTCTATATTCTTAATAAAATACCATTGTTCTTGTAATGCCATCCCAATCTCCATTCACTACTTCCACCTGCAGACATTGTTCACTTTGCCATCCAATGGATTCATTCTTTACCTTCCCAATTTCCCTGAAGGGAGCCTACCTTGATAACATAAACGTGATCAGGGTGATGCTTGGATGGCATGAAGATAAGGAGGAGCCGTTCATATAACTGAATGCCAGTCAAAGATGTCACACCCATATACAGAAAAACCCCGAACAGCACAGCCAATGGAATCTGACGAAGTATACTTCCCATGGCAATGGAGAGACCTGCAAATAGCACAGAGTGTTCCATTTTCTTTCAAAGATACCAATGTAACTATAGTGAGAATATAAGACAATGCCTAAAATGGCACACATAACTTTCCAAGGAATTCAGAAGAATGGAGCTGGCAGAGATATACAGGTACAGTGGTACCTCAGTACCTGACTACTTCAAAACTCGTCGAATTTGGTACTCAATGCATTTTGATGTGAAAATGTTGTCCTGGTACTCAGCGTTTGTTTTAGTACTTGACATACTGCAAAAGGAAGTAGGGGACAGCTGCAGAGGACAGCTGCAGAGGACAGAGAGAAAGTCAACCATGCTGGGAAGGTTGACAACATAGGAAAAGGGACAGATAGGAAGTCCTTCCCAGCTGAAATGAAGTGTCACGTGGTAAGTCACATGGTTAGTTTGGTACTCATTCTTTTTAGTACTCATTGTGCCTCCTGCAACCAATTAAGGATGAGTACTGAGGTACCACTGAATACACATTCATAGTTTGGAAGGCAGAGGATCTGCTGATTTTATTGTTTCTATGATTCTGACAAAATCATCTGCTCAAACCTCCAACCCAACTAAAGTATGTATTAGATAGAATCATTAAACAGATGATGCTGGCCAGGCAGATTAATCTAATTTCATCAAATGAACATAATCACCACAAAGACATATTCCTCTGAGAGGACCTCACCAACAAGGCCAGCGATGAGCACTCCTGTCACACGTTGTTCTTTCACTTCCTTGATCTTTGGCTTCTCACCAGGAGCTATGGCCTTGCTCATTACAGTAAGGGCATTGACATGAGTAATGGAACGGACAGTAGCAGCTGTGAGCCAAGGCAATCCCAAAAGGGCACAAAGTCCTCCCATTGTCCCAATAAGCAGCAAATCAAGATGGAAGCCTGATCCCTTCAACAGCTTCCGTTCCTTCTGGCTGACAATCAGACTACAAAAAAGATGACAACAGAACATGTGTGAATTTCAAGGACATCCTAACACTGCTTTGCTTTACTAAGGGAAATATGAAGAAGCCATGGTTTAAAATGTTTTGCAACAATTTTTTTTTAGATAGGAAAGAGATGGGGCATGTTGGTAATAAATGAAAAAGCAGAGCCAGCAATTAAGTTCTATACTGCAGATAAAGCTTCCTGTGTAACATGCACATAGTAGTTACTGGAAGCAGATGGGAACATTCTTGTGCAATGTGGACAGTAAGAATATTTAAAATCCTCATTGCCTTAATTCTCACCATTTCCAGTGATCTTTAGAATTTACTTAGGACTCATAGGATGATAAATATGAGTAACCTAATCTATAACATAAAGGTCTGGCACTTACGTGGTGATCTGGGTTTCCATAAAGATAAGGATGAAGACCAGTAGTGCAGGAATGGCAGAAGCAAACATCATCCAGAGGGGAAAGGTCTGCTGAGTTCCTAAGGGATGGATGAACCAGCCCCGTTTATCTGGGGCAGTAACCGACAGCACTGAGGGCACATTCAACTTCTGTAAGGAAAATATAACATATCAGCACACTAAATGTTAAAATCGGGATAAGATAATAGCACATATGTATAACCACAGTCTCATGGTTCTGACTGATAGAGACGAATAAAGCAGAACTCTGAGGCTTGGAAATCTCTCAAAGAACATGTTTATTAGTTACAGTTAAAAGTAAAACCAAGTCTAAATACACAAGTAACAATTTTCCAATTATAAAGTTTAATGTCCCACCCAAAACTATGCTATCAACTACATTCCTCAATATACTAATTTGGCGGACTTTTTTATGCAATGCCCAGTCCCTAGTCACGGGAGTAGCTGATGACCTTGGTTCCCACGGGACAGAAGATTATTTGGACTAACAAAGCACCTCCCTCCGTTCCATGTGGCAACCTCAAATGAAGGGAAAAAATGGCTGCAGCCAGGCTTATTTGCAAAGTTGACAGACAGATTTTTAGTTCTTAATAAACCCTAGCCTGACCTGTGTTACCATGTATGTACATCTTTTAACTGCCTATCTTCATAACCGAAGTCAAATGGGATGAAAAGCAATTTTACATGGCTTAATTCCAAAGTTTTCCTAAGTAATCTCAATAGATAATATTTCTGTATGTATAGTTTTTAGCCTTAAATTGGTTCTGTATGTTTAATCCTGGCTTGATACATTTTGCTATAACTATGAAATCTAGATGGGAATTTTAGCTTTTAACTGTACTAAAGACATACCTGCTTCTACAATCACAAATATCCTAGCTCTCCAGAGTCATACATAGCATTTGGTGCTAGTCAGAAGCCCAGACAAACAAGTAGTTGTTTGTCCTTAGATGACTCCACATTTTAACAAAACCTCCCACTGAAGCAGAGGTCAGCTGATCAATACATCACACAATATGACTGGGACACCCTTTATTTTCTGCATGGCAGCCTTCTGAACTGAATGCTGATTAAAAGGCCTAAATTCAGAGTTCTGCACACACAAGATTAACTCCAAATGGATGAATGGTTACAAAAGTTGATGGAGTTAGCAGAGATGGCCAAACTGACTGCTTTGATTAAAGAAAAAAATACAATTACTTTTGTTTCTACTTGGAAACTGCTTCTGGACTTTGTGGGAAAAAAATGAAATTTTGATTTTGGGTTTTACCGATTAATAGGTTTGTTGTTATAGAAATGGCTAGTTTATAATATTATTATGTAAAACAAAAAGTTGATGTTTGATGTTACTATCTTATTCTACTGCACCAAAGGAAGCCGAAAATCAATGCCTTTTCCTTCTTTTTTCTCCTTGCCCTGCACTTTTCCCTTCCTTTTCCCTTTCCTATTTTCCTACTATTTTCTTTTGCACTGTTGTATTATATATTATAAACTAATAAAAAATTAAAAAGGAAAAAGGTTAACTCCAAATGCTTAGAAAAATCAATGTATTATAGTTCCCATGAGATGGTGAATATTTCAGACATGCAATACCAACCTGTGTATACGTATCAGTAATAGTATAGTCTACCAGAACCATGACAAGTATGGAAATAGGGATTCCAAAATCTCCAATGATTCGCCGGGCCTATAGAACAAATATGGGAGAAAAAAATGAACATAAGGCAAATTGGAGATATTGCTGGGAGATCAACTCTACCTTCTGAACCCAATTTCCCCAACTTCTGAAGAAATGCCCCTCGTGACATAGAAGGGTGCTTCTAAGTAAAAGCACATTGATAGGGCAATAATGCACTTTCTGAAGGATAATGGATATATCTTTAATACTTTATGTCTCTTTATCTCTACATTGCCAGTTCCATAGAACTTACTTGGCCAGGTTCAAGATGTGTTTATTTTGAACACTCTCCGGGTTTACAACAACTCAGGAGCATTTTCACTTTTAAAATATAGTGGAAGTTGAATACCCAAATTTCTATAAAGACAGATTAAAACTGAGCGTTGCAGGAAGAAGAGGGAATGCCTTTTGATTCCACAGCTATGATTTTGGCCAAGCTATCTATTAAGAAATTACACAAGGACTCAGAAAAACTACTTCATTTATTACTTTTGGGAATCCTAATTTCATTGGGAATTAGAATGAAAAATACAAATAAGTCTGCTGAAAGAGTTACATGGGAGAAAAGCTACAATACATTTTTACTCGGAGCCAGATCTTAGGTTTACCTTTCCTCCTAAAAAACGGCTGTTCTTAAATTTGCGCATAAAAAAGGCAATGAAAAAGGTCCCCAACATGAGGATGAGGGATAGAAGGGCTGTGTTGGGTTGCATTCGGATATCAAGGACTGTAGAATCGGCAGGTAATATGCTAGAATTCAAATTTCTTTGAAGATTTGGTGGATAGAATCGCAGCAAAGGATGTTCTGCAAATATCTGGGAACACAGCATAAGGAAGAAAGGCATTTACTACTATATCACTCATTTCAGCCACAGAAACTGTAGCTGTTAAAACCTTTTATTTAGGTTTAGCATGACAGGAGGTAGTAAAAAACAGATCAAAATTGGTAAAGAACCACATGCCTATCAGTTATTTTAAACTGAATCCGACAGCTGATATAAGCAGCTAATGTTTTAGTGGGGGTTTTGTATGGGGTATTTTTAGAACAGGCCTGTTATTTAATTTGATTTTAGACAGAAATTTGTGTATATTTATTGTGGTTTTTATTATCGCCTGTTCACCGCCCTGAGTCCCGTAAGGGAGATAGGGCGGTATATAAATTCAATAAATAATAAATAATAATAATAATAATAATAATAATAATAATCACAAACTCTTTGGAGAAAGCTTACCTTGTACAGCTTGTAGAATGTTTCATAAATGAAGATGAGGGAGATGAGGAAGGCAAAAATCTCCTGGGTGAAGGGTGTAATGTAGCGCACTAAGAAGCTGCCTTCAGCAGCTACGATAATGACAATGAAGACAATGAGCCAGAAGCCAATCCACACCCGACCTGTCAAATACTCGATGTTCTGGCTCTGACAAAACTGGCAAAAAATAAATAAAAATCGGGAGCTTAGAGACATCACCTAAGTCTGCCTTCTCACCCTGCATAGTTTCTTAGCCTGTGCACAACAAGTCCCCATAATATGATCTTATAGGTATCTATTGTTTCAAGAAGACAACAATAATTGAAGTTTATCAAAACACTGCATAAGATTTCAATGGAGACAGTATGAACTCTAATTTGTATATGGAGGACATTTCAAAAAACCCATAGTGGGTTACTAGCCTACTTCCCAATATCCACTGTCTTATTCTATTAAGCCTTACCAGGCTGCTTTGAAATAGAATTGCAGATTAATTACCGTACCCAACCTCCTTCCCTGTTTAATACAATATATAGAATGCTACCCATATGATTGCTAAGCCTGCTGAAGAGAGAGACCCTCTGAGTGCAAAATTCTTTCAGGCAAAGACAGAAAACATTCAAAGCAGCAGCAAACACAGCCATGTTGGTCATTGATTAAGATGTGTGGCTATAAAAATTGAATAAATATATAAACTACTGCTGTACACCATTATAAAGCAACACACCGCCATCTTAGCTAAGGCAATGCATTTATCTTAAATTGTTAATTTAAGACCAGTGTTCTTATCATAGGCACAATTTGCTAAAGTATGAATGCACAACAATTGATAACTATTGGATCCATTTGTGGAGATTAGGAAACTTTTTTTTTTACAATATGAACCATCACTAGCTTTAAACAGGCCAAATCTAGACGTTACTTGAGCAGCATAATAGCTTCATAAAAACATGCCAGCGGAAAAGATCAGGTCTTTGTGTAGTATGACTGTTATATGTTGTGAAGTAAAAACACCCACATTTGTAGCTAACTTTAATGAGATAGTAAAAATGGTTTCAGCATACAGGAGAAACACTTCATACATATCATTTCTCACATGTCTTATCTGTTCAGTATTTTGACAGCATTTTTTTTACATACCTTGTAAAAAGCTTCTTCAAAGACCAGCAGGGGCCCTGAGAAACCAATGATAAGGAGTGGCTGTGCACTCAGAAGTGAAAAGATCATGCCCAATACTGATGTGGAGATAATCAGTTCTGAAACACCCATAAGACCATCTGTTTTCTCACCTGTAAAAAGAAAGCAATGTCTTTAGGATACACTGCAATGTTGCAGATATAAATATCCAGGCAGGTTTTTTTTTCACATCTGGGATTAATAGAAAAAAAATATTTTTCTCTCAATTGCCATTGCTAATGAGTCCTTCCATACATATCTATTCTACTATTACACCTGGATTCTGGAATAGATTATATAAGGTCTACAATTGCATCTGAAAACAGACACACACACAGAAACACACACCCCTCTGGCTAGGTTCTTATATCACACTAAGTCTGATTTATTTAAGCACAACTTGTTGAATAATCTGTTATTGCCTGGGTCTATATACTGTGTTATGGTTAATGGCTAACAAACCAAAATGGCTAGACTCATATAAAAACCAAACCAAATAAACAATATTATGGCTTAATGCAATATATGAACCTATCCGTGCATAATTCTCACGGCCAAACAACTGATATTCAATCTGTCCCAGAAAGATCTCTACTGGCTCTGAAGAGGACTAAAAATAACTAGTTACTTATGAGTAACTGTGATTTTACAGTGGTCATCTGTGAATTCACACATTATAGGGAAGCCCTCCAACCCGACAGGAGAAAGGCTAGCTACACTCCGGTGTCTAGCCCAAGCTACCAGCATCCGAAGTCCAAAAGCACCAACTAAGAACAACAGTGAACAGTGTGTTTGGAACTGGGTAAGAACATTGATCTTCTCTTCTTTATTTTGAAACTGATTTCCTGGAAAAGATCCCCAAAAGCAAAAAATCCTCTGAAAGTGAGAAGGAAGAGGACTATAACCCCACTCTTCCATAGAAGGAAGCGTCGATTTAATTTTTATGGGGGACAGAAATGGATTAATGTAAAGTTACAATCTGGATAAAATTGAAAACTATGGAAATTGTCAAGATTTTCCATTTGGAAGAATATTGATGAAATTATAAGAAAATAATTTGTTTTGTTTTGGAGGTTAGAAAATAAACAGCTACTGACATCTAGTGGTGGATCAGAGTATAGAACTACAGCTGCCCTGCCTCAGAAATTGGCAAGACACCCAGAAATAGAGCACAACTTGTTCCTTTGATCCACAGTGACTCTCAGCTAAACAGAGAACAGCTGGGAACAGAGGAAAGAAAATACATTGGGCTATCTTTCACAGAATGAGAAATACAATTGTTATAAAAATGGCTGACCTTCTTGGATTATAAACACTTACTAAGCTGTGATATCTGAGTTTAAGAATCATCTGCATAGAAAGAAAAACCTTAATTTTTGGCTATCTTTCTAGGGAGGAAAATACTGGATTGTTTTAAGTGGTTGAACATTTTGGACTGTTCATAAAGATAAGAACTATATAAAACTATGGTGTTTGGAACTTAAGACTGGTTGCTTTGATGAAAATGGAAGTTGCATACACAGTAGTGGCAGAAAACCACACTCAATATTCTTTTCTAAAACTTCCAGTCTGGAATACCAGATATCTGCAAGAGTAATACTTCAAGACACGACAAATATCTTCCAGGAGAAACTGCATGCTATGTTGTAATTAATTTGAAAGACAATTGTCTCAAATCCTGATGAGATGAAAAATAATTTTGATGACATAAGTGAGCACATCTTTGACCTAAGCTCACAATTAAAAAACTCTCAGAAAATGATGACAAAGAATGAACAAATAAATCAGACAATAGAACAAAAACCAGAGGAAAGCAATTTAAAGATGGAAGCTACAAACAAAGAAAATCATAGTAACACAGACGAAGAAAAATCTGCAAGATTCTGCTATAATATCAGAAATGGAAAAGACATTCTATTTTTCAGGATTTCAAAACAAAGCTGAGGATAAGAAAGAAGATTTGACAAAATGGACTATAGAGCTGTCAGGAGAACTACTAGAGTTTGGGAGACAAAAAATGAAAAGAGAAATTGAGGGAGAAGGAAAATGGAAGCTTCTCAATGAATATAAATGGGCGAAATTCCACCTCAAAAGTGCTTCACTCAATTTGTCTTTCCCATCTTTAACAACACTTATAAATATACAGGAAGAATCCGCTGGCAAGCTGAACACACTGATTTGGAAAGTTCCTTGGCAAAAGAAGAAGGCGAGAGCCAGACTCGAGAGATGATTTGAACTTCTAGATGGAGTGCTATATGACCAAACACTTGTTTGAATATGGTTAAAAGAATAGTTAAATTTTAGATATGAATGGGTTTTATAGTAAGAGAGATGTGATTTATAAGTAGTATAGTATTTTTTTACGATATGGGAAATGAAAAAACATTGGGATGATTTAAATGTACGAAATAGTTTAGATATTTAAATGTAATCAATTTTGAGAAAATTATAATTAACAAGAAATGTTTTGAATACTGAGGGGAAATTACCGTAAGCTTAAATAAGAATTCTGAAAACAGGACCTATAGCGATTTATATAAGATGACTTTTTGCAAATGCAACTATAAAATAAGCTGATAAGAAAAGACGCTACGTACTGATGTTATTGTTATTTGTACAAATACTAGAAAAATGTTTATATTCAACTTTGTATGTATTGAAAGTATTAAGAACTATATTTGTTCAATATTGGTAAAAGGAGAATATTATTGGAAGAAGAGAAGATCAAGGAAAGGTATTTTTAGTTAGTATGTTGATTATGAAATCATAGAAATTAACTATTATTGATTGTTGTTAAATTTATGAACTCAGACAACACGTTGTTTACTAAGCACTAAAGATTGTTAATGTAAAAAATCAATAAAATATATTTTAAATATATATATAAATTAGAGCAGAACTTGACTGTCAGATTTTGAACTGATTCAGCCAGACAAAATCATACGGTGAACAAACTACGTCGATTGCCTATCTGCTTCCAAGTGAACTCAGTGCAGTGATACCTACCTTTAAATTCTTTAATCAGAGGTGGATAACCTTTTTTCTTTCAACAGCCCCATTCTTTTGGGAATAATCTGTAGATAGGTGCATGTCCGTGGAGGGACTTAAGCAGGGGGAGATGGTTAAAGCCAGTACTCTAAAGGGCTACACATAACTCTGTTTTCCATTTTGTTGCCCCTTTTTAATATCTTCCCCATTCTCCAATCCAACAAAAATGTTCTTGCCAGAGAAATAATTTGATTACAGAAATTTTATGGTTGTTGAAATTTATTTATTTATCTGTTTGTTTGTTTGTTTGTTTGTTTATAAAATTTATTGGCTGCCCATCTTACCTCAGGGTAACATTAAACTGGGTTACATATATGTATTCATTGCCCTCTAGCACCTTGATCATTATTCCAATTCTCCTTTATTTGTCTATAAGAAGAGATTGAAATTGACTTCTCTCGTTTGCTGCCATCCTTTCCCAGTTTGGACTCCTAGGTGGTTTGCTAATGAAAATCCCATTGTAGCAACATAAGGAGTAATAGAGTTTTTGTGGATGCCATAGAAGATGAGACATACAGTAGACTAGAAAGCCCTAGAGCCAGGCAGGGGTGAAACAGATCAAAGCCAAGCTCATCTGAATGCAGCAGAGCCAAATGGAGCCTGTCCACTAGACTAGCACAGACACAGGCACATGAACCAATCCCAGTCACTCAGCTAGTAGAAGCAAAATGTTAACCTCCTGCTCAACATCTTGGGAAGTACAGAAAGACAGGAACCAGCTTGAGCAGAAAATGTGTAGGGAAGTGGGAGATGAGGAAAAAGGAGGGCGGACTTGTTACCTAGCAGTCCCCCAAAGGTGATGGCAGGAGAGAGAGCAGCGAAGTAGATGAATAGCACGGCTGCGAGGCACTGGCTGTGCAGGGCATCTCTGAGGTCACTCAGATACTTGGGGTACCTGCGCTTTATGTCCCGCACCAAACCACCAAAGAAAATGCCGGTGCGCTTCAGAGGGTCATCCTCCTCCTCCTCGCCCTCTTCTTCTTCTTCAGCTTTCACCTCACATAGCTCTGGAAAGGCATAAATAGAAGAGCAGGGAAATGGTCAGAGATGCTGAAGCAAGACACCTTTCCACACTAATATCCTACTGTATGTACTCAGACAGGTGCTCGCATCAAAGTTTCCCTTATTTGCTTCTACTAATTGCCACAAAGTCTGCCTTCAACATCTACTTTGTTACTGCATCAATTTTTAATAGTGTTACTGACATGTCAAGAGTATGTCATATCTCACCCATTCTATTCTAGCCACAGTATGAATCAGAGGAATTAGATACAATAGGCAAAGACAGAAGAGACCTTTAGATTCCTGAAAGTTTGTTTCTTTGAGGGACTTCTTCTGGTCCCGCTCTCTTCTCTTCTTCAGCAGCACTTTCTGGAAGGTGGCAATTGATCTGAGCAAATCTTTCCCTTCTACTTCTGATGGAGGAATGACAATGCTGCAGTCTAGGAACTCATTGATGGCATTAAGCAGATCTTGGCGGTCATCTGCCAGGTAAGCGGCTTCATGGAAATGCTGTAAACCAATGGGAGAACATGGTGAGACACAGACAACATCTTTATACCCGCCTCTGCCCACCCTAATATTACCAGTTGGTAGTGTAGTCCCCAGCTCAAGATATAGCCCTCAGTTCATTTTCAGTGAAACAGTACAGTTGCCTTTAATTGACATTTTGTTCCCATTTTGCCTTTTGAGGAAAATGTGTGTTTGTGTGTGTATGCATATGCATACACATGCATTTGTTTAAAATATAATTAAAGTTCTTCTATAGTCTTTAACTTCAGCACACAAGCAATTCAATGTAATCTTGATTCCAATAAGTGGACAATTCATGTATTGACACTAAAACATTATTTGGTGCTGAGGTAAAATACGTGATCTCCCAGTTGTTGCTGAACTCCAGTCTCCAGCAGCCCCAGTCAATTTATCAATAACAAGGAATGTTAGGAATTACAGCTCTGCAATGTCTAGGATGATACTGATTTCCCATCTCTGTTTTAACAGTCCTTTCACACAGTATTAACGTAATAAGGTTCATATTCAATTGCTAAGCATGATCTTGTTATGTGGTTGTTTAATTTTTCTGGTTTATCTTTAAAAAAAATTTAAATTAATGAGCAACATTTTGAGGAGGTAGAAAAAAACTTTTAGAAATTTTAATACTGGCAGGAGAGAACTGAGACAGTGATCCTGGGATTTAAGAATTACTCCCTTTTCACTACTACACTTTAATTACATTAAACAGAAGTGTGGATAAATTATTACTAAAAGATTCCTCCACATGAAAAACATTGCTGAAGGCAAATAGGAGGACAGAGTTCACAAACAACACATGCTATAAAAATGCTGGATCAATTGCTCAACAGGCCAGACAGGAAATGGGGTGAAATATACTTCTTGTCACAATAGTTTATTTTTCAACTTCTCCTGTTAGAACCTTGTGAATATTTGGAAGGACAATTTTCACACAAAACTTACCATTGAGTAGGAAAGTAGAAACTAAAATATAGCTGGAGCTCTAAGCCAGCTTTTTTTTAAAAATAAATTTCATCAAAAATTAATGCTATCAAAATCTCTGTCCAAAATCAAGGCCATCAAAATCTCCAGGTAAGTTTAACTTGGAAAAGGTAGGGAGGTTAATATAGAATGTATCGTTGTTGTTTTCTGAAATCTAACATGTAGGACATTTTTTGTTCTTCCATACTCTTCACTTTTGCCCTTGACATGTAGTTTATGTCACTCCATACACCCTTTCATGTGACCAACATCTCCATTTATGCTTGAGCTTCAGCCTGAACGAAAAGCCAGGTCTTTACCTTGTCTGACATGAGAGTAGAGATTGAACGTCCAATCTCATGGTAATCCACATTAGACTGACTTGGCCCTAGCAAAACAAAGATGAAGCGAACAGGAATCGGAACTTCCAGAACTGATTCCAGGAACACAGCTTCATTTAAACGGACAAAAGCCATTGATGGTTGTTCAAGAAATTCAACACAACCTACGAGGAGATGAAGAATAAAATCAGAGATATTAGATCAGTGTAGAATTTACAAGTAACAAGAAGTATGTCCCAGATAGGGAAGTCTAGGCAGAAAGCGTTCAGCATAGACAGATTCATGTTACATTTAGTGATATCTTACTACTTCAGTTGCTGTTAATACAAAATCTGTGACTAATATAAGCAGCTCAAGTTCAGAGTTGGCCGTTACTGTATCCTATTTTTTTTTAAAGAGATACCAAGATTGAATTTAAAAATAATAATCTTCATCAGTGTGCAACTATATTTTGACCCAAAAATGAATGTAACGAAGCCAATTCAGAAATTTAATTCCTCCCCCAACTCCATAAATAAAGGTAACCAAGAAGGAACAGAAGCTATGTCAATCTTAGTTTTTCTCAGTTAAAGAATTTCAGGTTGAGGAGCTAAGATTTCAGAATGATCTCATAGTTAATAGGTAACTGGCCAAAGTCTTACTATATCAATGGAACACAAGCTGAGCCACAGCAGTTAAGCAAATACACACATAGAGAGATAATGCTTGTATTCTGGCTCTAACATGATACTTTTGGCCAGGCATGGAAATGGTGGGACTACGTTTAGCTTCCTAACAGGGGTCCTATTTCTATATCTTATGCAGTAAGCCAGTGGTATGGCTGCTACTACTGTCAGTAAATGATTGTGGTTTCTTCTATGTACTCTCTTTCCCTCCTTTTGTCTAGTTCAATGATGGCGAACCTTTTAGAGACAGAGTGCCCCAAAACCGTCCCCTGTCCCCGCTCCGCCTCCTGCCTTGCCTGCTCTGGACCTGCCCGCCCCCTGCCCCGCCCACCCATAGGGCCATGCACCGCCTCCATGGCCCGCCACAGATCGCCCTGGCAGCCCTGCAGCGCCATGGCAGCCACACTGTTCACCCACACCCCGCAACATCATCTGCATGCTATGGGGCATGAGGGCGGAGTCTTGTCCCTGCTGCCCGGCTATGTCCTTGGCTGCGCTGCTCCATTTGGGCTGTGCCTGGGGGCAACTCTCCTCCAGGGGGTCTACTGATGAGGAGGGGGGCTGCAGGGGGAGGCGGGGCTGGGGCAATGGCACGTGTGCCCACAGAGAGGGCTCCGAGTGCCGCCTCTGGCACACGTGCCATAGGTTCGCCACCACTGGTCTAGTTACTTTGATATGAACAGTTTGTGCTACTTACTGGCCTCCGTACTAGTAATCTCCAAGACTGTTCTGTTTTACTTTATTAGTTTATATTTATGTACTCCAATCATGCCTGGTTCTGAACAGGTTATACACATCCCAGAGTAGAATAAAACCAAAATATGACAGCATATGCATAACTGGAAATACTACAGCTCCCCTAATTCCATGAGCCTTTCTCAAAATCTTTGTACTGCACTTTGATTTAGGATTCCTTACCAACAAGCACTACGGTGGCCTCAGCATCATCAGGAATCTTCTCCATCAATTTGATGTATTTGCCACGATGTCCCTCGGTGTTGTGAAGGTGCATGTTTTTCTGTCCCAACAGGAAATATCCAAATTAGCTGGTGGCTAGAGTAGCCCTTGACTTCGTGAAATGTATAAGCTACACTCTAGTTACTAAGGTCCTACAAGGTAAGACTTTAACCCCTTACTTTTCTACATGTTTATTTAAGGTAAGTCTAAATACTGTTCCATTATATCCCCCTTACAATTCATGGATTTGTTAATTAATTAATATATCAATTCAATTTATTCTCAGGACCATTATATTATACTAATTATTTTCTTTAATTTAATGACCTACTTTCTCCATATACTCATATTCTTGATTAAGTCATTTCTCCAACTTCTTCTTATTCCATCTCCATGACTAGCAGAATAAATTATGGAAGGCCCTGAAATATGCACAATTTCACACTAGTGGTAAAATCCAGGTTTTATTTGATACAAACTTTTTAAAAACTGTTTTGTTTGTTTGTTTTCAGTGCACACATACCAGTTCATAATTCATATACTTACTTTTCTTGAACTTACACGCCACTGTCAATTAGTTTTAATTTAAATTAGTAAATTACAGATCAATTCAATCTGATCCTGTAATGGGCAGAAAGAATAACCTTGAGAAACAGGAGGAAGAGCCACTACTAAGATACGGTCAGATAAAAGAAATCTGAGTGCGAGTCTGATCAGTAAGCTGAGAAAATATCTCATACAAGCAGGGCTTTTTTTCAGCCGGAACGCGGCGGAACCGCGTTCCGGCACCTTTTTCCGGGCCGGCCGCACCGGAAATAGCCCCTCCCAAATTTTACTTGCATTCCTGTTCTCTAAAGGGGCGGTCCTAGGGTTTGATGAGGGCGTGGCCAGGTTTGAGTTCCGCCACCTTTTCTCCGAGAAAAAAAGCCCTGCATACAAGACCCCTCTTAGTTTTCAATAAGATAAAGGGATGAACAGGGGAAGCACATTCATACTTGCAAGATTCATGCAAAGATAATCTTTGTAATGAATTTACTACTTGTAATAAAAATAGTATTAGCCTCTATGACTTAGGTAACTTAGGCTGGTCTACCTTGAAGGGTTGACATATCCTTTTTTAAACTCACCTCTCTGTACTCAGGGTCATGGATTCGTGGTTCTGTCATCTCAATCCTCTCTTCCCCCATCAATGGCATGCAAGTGTCAGTTGTGTGGTTGTGATTGAGATGATGATTTCCCACTACAGAATTCAGGCTGGAATTGGAATGGTTCCGGGGGAAGAACGCCTCCTTCTCATCATTGGGGTGGCTGAGGAAATAATACTGATATCAAAGAAGCTAAAAAAACCTTGGCCTAATTTCTCTGGCTAAACAGTTGCTCTTCAAATAGCTGTCCTAAAACCTGACTGAAGTGAAGAAAAACCGTTGTTCACTCTTGCTGTATCCATAAGAAGCAAATCTCTGCTCATCTACCTTCCAGCTCCCCAATGTATTATAAAATTCTGATTTTCCTGCATGTATGTAGATTTGCTAGAACTTCTTATGTGTGATATTTTTCCTGTTTCAGGCTAGCCAGCACATCTATACATCCTCTCTTTAATAACTTCTTTAAGGAATCACCAAAAAGTTATCTTGTTGTCTTCGACTGTGTCTTATCATCCCCAAGACCTTGCTTAATCTTTAGGATCTAAATTTTTGTACTGTGTCATAGTTACTTATACTTTAGTAGTTCTTCCTCTTCTATTATATCTTTATCCACAATTCCAATTAACTGTATGTTTAGATTCACCATTTTACACCAGACCACCTACCTATGCTTGAGCAGTAGGGCCCTCAGGACATTGGCTCTGTCTTCAGCCTTGATTTGATCTGAGATTATCATAGTTTCAACCACCAGATGAGCAATGCCTGGCAATGTTGTTTGCTCCAGGTCCAACAAAACAGCTCCTGAGATTAAAAAAAACAACACAACAATAATGGAAGGGCACGGGAATTATTTCACAGTCAAAAATTTTCTCAAGCAGATTGTCTCCTTTTATTCTATTTTTTTTCTTTAGGCAAAAATACCAAATTCTTACTATGTTTAGCAGCATATCTGCAAAATATGCAGTTAAAGGCTTTGAGAAGTATTGTCCGCTCATACAAATGTATATGTCTTGTGAAAAAGATAAATAAAAGCAAAGCCAACATTTAATGGTTTAATGTATCATTAATACATTTAATGATTTAGTGTCCTTTTCTTGTTCCATAATTACACTTTATGTTACATTCTGCCATCGGACTAGATTGATAATGACTGCAACCATTGATCATTTTCTCCTTGTTATGAATAAGTTTATTTCAATCCTAAAAATTCTTCCTTCAGCTTAAGTAAAACGTCTTCCTTTAGTATATTCCTGCCTAAGAGGCAACAATACATGTTTCAAGCCAAATCCTAACCTCATCAGAGTTACTCACCATGGGCAATAGTCTTCCTGAGCTCTAAAAGGCTGCGAAAAGAGAGTGAGGCAACGTGAGGTTTCCCCCAGCGTGCCGTATCCTCTTCCACATCCTCCTCAAATTTGATCCAACGTGCCGTCTCCTTCCAGTGCATGTCCTGGTTTTTGTCCACTACTAATTCATTCAGCTCCACAAAAACCTAAGGAAAAGCAAGACAGTTAAACTCCAGTACACTACCCTGTTTTCTGCTATTAGTTTATAAGAATGGCATCCCTAACTGCCATTATAAGGATGCTGCAGGGAAGAGGTAGTGCCCTTTAGCTCTGCCCTGATAATACCAGAGATTCTGTAAATGACACATGCTTAACAGCATCCAAAGTATAATTCAAGAGGAAATGAAAGTTATTGCCTATATCCTCATGCCAGTTCAATCACTCAGGTCTTAGCCACCTCCAGACTGGATAACTGCAATGCACTCTATATGGGGCCAGGCTACCTTTGAAGAGTATTTGGAAGTTTCAGCTGCCTTAAAATATGCCAGCGTGGGCATTTATGTGTATTTGTCCTTCAGTCCATGTGACATCTCTGCTTTGCAAGTTGCACTGACTACCAGGATGCTCCTGGGTGCAATTCAATGTGCTTGCAGGTAGCTTTAAAGCCCTTCATGGTTTGGAGCTAGGTTAATTATAAGAGCTACTGTCCCCAGTGGAGTCTCCCCATCCTATTAGGTCTGGCAGGAGAGGCATCTCCAGGTCCCAACCACAAGACAGTGCCATCTGGCGGGAGCCAGGAAGAGGATTTTTTCTGCCATGGCACCTGTCCTTTGGAATATCTTCCTCCCAAGAATAGGCTTGCACTGATTCTTCTGGCCATTCCCAAGGCATAAAAAACTTGACTCTGCTGTCAAACCTGGAGCCCTAATAGTGTGGGTGAGCCAGTTTCTTGACTATATTGACTGTGGGATGTTGTGATAGTTCATCTTTGCTATTTTATAGTACTTGTTTTTAATTATTGGCTTTGTTTTTATTCTGTTTTAAATGTTAGCCATCCAGAATCATGTATCAGATAGGTGGCCTTATAAATGTGTTAAATATATAAATAAGTAATATGTACTGAGAATATGCATAAGGTAAGAGAAGGCAGCCTAGATTCACATTCTAAATAGTCTGTAGTAGGAATATATAATCTATTCCAATAGTGTGTTGGAGAGTTGCATTCCAAAAATTAGAGGATGAGGCTAGAATAAAAAACTAAATTTGATTCTATAACAGTTATATATATTGCTAATTAAAATTAAATAAAGCTGATGTTGTATTATAATCCTCTAAGTATGCATTTAATAATTCTCTCTTATTTCACATAAAATATTGTAATTTTCAGATCACTTTGAGGAATACTTTCAGGAGTCATTCTTGGCTCTTGGACTCCAGGTTGTACATTTCCAATTTATAACTGTAATTTTCCAGGCCATTTTCCCTCTCTGAACATGGTCTTCTTTTATTACTGAAGAACCAAATAGCAAAAACTAGACTGGGACTACCTGTTTATATCCTAAAGTAATAACCTTGGTTACTAGGCTTACACTAATTCCTAGAGACCAATCTTATCATCTCTATTATCCCTGCTCCTATGGAAAATGATTTACCAGCAAGCAATAAACTGAACAATGCATGAAGGTGCTGGTGCCATACATTGTGAGATTCAAAAGGAAACGCCATTGTGGTACCTCATGGGGTTTTCGGTCAAGTTTCTTTTTTTTCTTCTTTTTCTTGAAAGATTGCGAGGACAAAGATGTTTTGCTGGACCTGTTGATTTGGCTCCGGGATGGCTTCTTAACCAGATGTCTCCTAACTCCTGGATTATCTTCAAAACGATGGCCTGGAATAATAGCAGTTTCATGTTTTATGGATACATAAAACACAAATGTCCTTCTATGACTAAAGCTACATGAATGCCATAAGTGCTCCAAGAAACACAAATCTTTGTTAATGACTATAGAACTCAGGGCTCACAAAATGCAGTTTCCATTTTAAATGCTCCATTTCCCAGGAATGCATAGATATAGAAATATGTAGCTTTTGTAATGCATAATAAAAGCTCAAAAGAAATTGTTTCTTAACACTGGCACCGGGTAACTATTGAATGCAGAATAAATTATAAAAATATACAAAGATATATTACTTATTTTTATGAGTCACACAATACCTTTTTTTTAGAGCTAAATCTGAAAAAAACCCATCAGTTCATTTTACCCAGTATCTCCTACACTGTTTAGCAATACACGCAGTAGAATCTTTCCACCCAGACTAACTTTGTTGAGATTTTCCATATGCAAAACATTATGATGAGCATTTGATTTTCATTTAAAGAAATTGATATTGCAATACAGGAATCCAACAAAAGCTCATTTTTCAAAAGTATTTCCCAATACGAAGAGGTGCAATTACAAGTGTTTGGCAAAACACTATTTAAAAAGTGCTATGTATAAAAATTGTCATGTGTTCCCTGAAGCACAGCAGAACCTCTATTGCCTTGCTGTTTTGCTGGGTGTTACAAAGACAACAGGAAAATCTAAGGCTGGAGCATTATCTTATGTAAGCCTTGGAGCCTCATCTATGGCAGGGCTTTTCAACCAGTGGTATGGGTACCACCTGTGGTACATTGGCACCTGGCAGGTGGTACGCGACCATCCTAGAAAAGTGGTAGCGGGGGAGGGGAATGAGAGCGCCGCCAGGCGGGCAGGCAGGTGTCTTGCTCGGCTGTGCCTTGGGGGCACTTTTTTCAGTGCCATTGTAACTTCGAACAGTCACTAAGCGAACTGTTGTAAGTCAAGGACTACCTGTACTTTATCACTTTTTTCCTTTTTTTTTTTTTGGGTCATCAGGTTTTTGACACCTTGCTAAGCGACTGGTGGTACTCGGATATTGCCATATCCTAAAAGTGGTACAATGGGTGAAAAGATTGAAAAGCCCTGATCTATGGGACTGAGGGAAAGAGTTTTTATAATATATGTATCATCATAATCACGATCATGTGAAGTGCTAATACGATCACGTGAAGTGCTAATACCACTTTATAATGCCTTGGTGAGGCCACACTTGGAATACTGCATCCAGTTTTGGTCATCACAATGTAAAAAGCTGTTGAGACTCTAGAAAGAGTGCAAAGAAGAGCAACAAAGATGATTAGGGAGACTGGAGGCTAAAACATATAAGGAACGGTTGCTGGAATTGGGTATGTCTGGTTTAATGAAGAGAAGCCGTGTTCCAATATCTGAGAGGTTGCCACAAAGAAGAGGGAGTCAAGCTATTCTCCAAAGCACTTGAAGGCAGGATGGAATGGAATGGATGGAAACTAATCAAGAAGGGAAGCAACCTAGAACTAAGGAGAAATGTCCTGATAGTTAGAACAATTAATCAGTGGAACAACCTGCCTGAAAGTTTTTAAGAAGAGATTGGACAACCATTTGTCTGAAATGGTATAGGGTTTCCTGCCTGAACAGGGGGTTGGATTATAAGACCTCCAAATTCCTTTCCAATTCTGTTATTCTATTCTGTTCTGTTCTATAATGAGATTGTTATGGCATATAACCAGTTATATCTTAAATCAATCAATAATATTAAAGCATGGATAAAAATCCTGTAAAATTAAAATGTCTGGGTAAATAAGAACTTTTTTTTTTTGCAGATGACTATGTAACACAGATATGAGTGGGCCCTTTGGGGAAGGTATTTCTCAGGTGAACCTCTGGTTCTTTAAATAAGAAATTTCTAATAAAGCAGACATCTGGAGAGTGTACCTTCAAGTTATTCACAATATAAAGGGAACTCACTGTACTACACCCACTTTATTATATTCATCAATTTTCCACTTTATCCCTCTTTCGGTTTCTGTAATCTTAGTGCAACATTCCTAATTATGTTACATTACATAACAATGCTGTAGTTCTCCTCACAGCAAACACTTCAACTACTGCTGATTGTTAATCCAATGTAATTTCTCTATTGAACATTACTTACAGGGAAATGGAGAAAAATCTTTGACGAGCCAAAATCATCTAAATTGATGAGCGGATTGCCGTTTAAATATAGGGCTCTTTAGAATCTATATAACTAAGTAGTTTTAGGTCCCTTCTTCTTTGCACCATTTCCATTTATGAATATAAACTGCCAAAGGCATAATCTTACAAGGGCTAGTCTTTTGTTTGGTACCTCATCAAAAGTTAATGTGTTTCATAATGGCAAAAGCAACCTTTGAGTACAAAAGCACTGGCTATAAATGCTTCAATGAACAAAGTATAGGAGAGTTGTTACCTCCAGCATAAAATGAGAATAATGACTACTGATAAAGATGAATTAAATGGGTGGTACAGGCAAAGACAATTCTTAGGAGTTCTATTTTTCACCTTGAAACATTAGAAATCTCAGATGGCTTGCAGCCTACCGATCCACCAATTTGAGCTTGTTGAAAGTTAAATCCCAATCTTTCCCATTTTCTGTTGCATATGATAAAAAACAAACACTATTCATCAGTAATAAAGCACTGAAGCTAATTAGAGCAAGTGCTACAATGTGTTATGTACAATTATACATGACGCTCATCATTTTAATTGGAGATTGCATAGTTGACTGGTAGAATGGAGAAACGAATGAATGGATGAATCTGTGGATGCTGCATATGTGAGGTAATTTCTGTGGATGATGAACAGTGACGTGATTGCAAGTCCTATTATCTACTTTTAGAGTAACATCAATTGTACCCAATTGATATACTGTATGCATTTCACCTATTTTGTGACCTTTTCAAGTCCTAGTACCTCCTTAAAAAGATGGGTAGTACTCATTAGATTAGATTACAGAGATGTAATCTAACATTTTAGTAGTCAAAACTGTTGTGGAATCCATTATATTTCAGGAAGAAGATACAATCATCTTGCTACATAATGTTAATTTGTTCATCAATTTCATATACGTATCTACACCAGTGCAATTTGTTTTTGTGCAGAGATTTTTAACAGGAAAGATACAGGTTATTGTATATTGCTTATATTTTTCAGTTGGGCTAATAGTTGCTTTTGAGACACTGGATTAAATCCTGTTCCAGATTAACTAGTACTCTGTGGGCTGTGTATAACATGCCTCGGATACTTTGTTATATATATTTATGAAGATCAAAATGAAATATTTTAGTTCCTAAAGGGGATGGGGTTTTTTTTTGGACAAATCTAAGTACTCTCCATTCCCATTCTCAGCATATTTAACCAGTTAACATGCTCAATGCTGGTAGCAACGTCTGATGGTCTTTCAACATATGAATGTATGTTTACGAGTAGTTCATCTGATAAGAAAAGCATGTCACAGCTCAGAATGTACAATATCTGTGTGTGGAGTGGGTGGATGAGTGGATGGTGGATGTTGATGGGAAAATAAATTACAGGCATCAAACTGAGGAATAAAGAGTTGCAATTGCTCATGGGTGTGTATGTCTAACACAGGAATGAGGAAATATAGGTTGTAGTTAAATGCCTTCAGGTGCACATTTCCAACATATTTGAACAAGTAGCCTCTAGAACAACAGAGAAATAAACTTTTGGGATAGGATAAAGTTAAGCAAATAAAAAATAACTTTAAATGGGAAAAGAATAATTAAAATAATTAAAATAATTTCTAGTAATAGAAAAAAGAATTTTGAAATATACAATTGTCAGATGGTGATAAGATATATTGCATATAGTGATAAAATATATTCAAAATAAATGACGTTTGTTATATTTTAAATCTGATTATCTAATGGAAAAAAATAAGTCTAAGTGAAGTTGAGAGTAAATATGTAGAAGGATGCACATACGTATACCTGTACATGTGAATCCTAGCACAAATGCAGTACTTACGAATTGGCTCCAGACCAGGACAACCCAAGTGGTTCTGAATAGCCTCCCATAAATCATAGTCTTCGAAGTTGAGAGCAAACTCCTCAAAGTCATCATAATCTAATGAATTATAGGCACATACAGCTATCTCTATTTCTGGTCTGTCTCCTATTCCAGTGTCCTTTACTGTCTCCTTTCCGTTTGGAATGGCCATTGTTACGTTCTTTAGAAGATGAAAAATCTTGAGTACGTCACAAAAAGTAGGATTTAGGCAGGAGATGAGTTCCTCTTCTCTGAATTTTTTCAGATAGCACAGCATCCAGTGCTCAGGAATTTTTGGATAGAATTTGATGAAGAATACTACTACTGACCATCTAGTGAAACAACTAGCACCAAAATGCTGGCTACTTGTTTAGAATCCAAGTGGAAATATATCCTTGCATACTACCAAAGCCAGCAAGGAAATCCAGTATATGATACGCTGCTATGCTGTTTTCCTTTGTGGCCCCCCCTTCACATGCTTTTAGTGTCTCTTTCTACTGAAGCTTGGAAACTAGTCTATTGACATCTTTATGTCCTGAGGCCCCAAACTGCATTTCCATGACGTCCCTTCTATGTTTTTGCACTGAGAGAATGAGAGAACTCAGCTTTGGGGAGGGGCAGGGAAGGTGCAGAACATAGCAGTAAATAGATGACATTTCAGTTCGTTGTAGGATTCGAGACCATGAGAGATACTGCATTTGATACAGATTCCTATTCAAATTTGGCTACTTCCTCCAGAAATTGAAAAACATAATTCTTCAAGAGCAAAAAGGTGAAGATAACTTTAGGTTAAAAAGGAGAAAGCAAAATCGTAAAGTTTCAGCAAGGAAGATTCTAGGTTAGCCTTAACATATGAGAATTGAATACCATTCAGTAAACTATGGATGAGTAGTAGCACAGGATATAGAGAATAAAATTATTGGATTGCAGTATGTCTGGTCAAATTTGGTAAGAAAGATATGTATATTATTTGAGGATTTTCTGTCCAGTAAAGAAAGGCTTAGAGAATCATCTTTAAGTAGAATGATTTATAACATCTTGTAGGATTTATAACATTTTGGAGGATCCTCAATGCTTAAATAATTAAAAAAAATTATTTCATCAGTTTTGCTATCCCTCCCTCCCTCCCTTCCTTCCTACATCACATGTGAGATTGCTAACATAACAAGAAAAATCTCCTGCATATTCCTAAAAAGCACTTTTTAGGCATAACTAATTAAAGCTTCTCAAGTCAAAATATCTTATGAGTTAAAATCATGTATCTACATCTCATTATAGACTCCTGTACATTATAGCTAGCCTAGTACTAAAATAACATTATTTCTTGGAACTGAAAGCATAGTGGTAACATTTGAAAGAAATATATTGCTGACTATGTTTTGAATGAATGTATGGAAGTCAGAATTATATAAATTAACTTCAGGGAGCAAAGTAAATGCTAGAATATAAGGAACTGCTTAGATTTTTTTTTATCTTAATAAAAAGGAAGATCAAAAAAATACAAGTAGAACTTTACAAAATCATAACTTATGTAGAAAGAGAAACTAAATAATAATTATTCTCTATCTACTTTCCTTTCCTGTATATTTTCTTAGAAGTTAAATATCAAATATCCTGAATCTAGAAGAATATTAATGAGTGCAATTTACCTAAATACAGAACAAAAACAAACCAGAATTATTTATGTTGCATGGCCATTAATATAATGGTTATTATATGCTGTTATATTCAAAACCGCAATCTCTTTCAGACTACAAATATACCGAAGTATAGCAAATGAATATCCTGAGCATTAAACATCTACATACATCATTCTGTCATTAGAAATATTACACAATCCAGTTGCTTATTTTTAACGCAGAACAATAGTTACACTGATGTTTTTATGGGCCTCCCAGTGCTGCACTCAAGGTAACTCCCAGCATATAGGCGCTGCAACCATCACCATTACTAGGGACAGAATCAAAGGTCAAAGTTGTCTCACTTTTCATGTCATCAAGGTCAGCAGAAGCCAACATCTGAGCTTCAGCTTCATCAGTGGGGATTCGCTGATATGTGGCATTCTCTATTGCAGTCATGCTGCCAATGCACACTCTCTCCTTCAGATCATAGTTTGACCGCTGCCCACTTGGCACCTGACTCCATGGTCTGCGCTTATCCCATCCCCGACATACATTATCTCTGTATTCAGGAAAGCTGTGGAGGCAAGAAAGAGAACAATGATGGCAGAGAAATAATAACTGAAAGTGAGAACTTGTTCCTAGAAGACAGAATGTAATTCCAGAGTTAGGAAATTTGAACAAGATTAAAGAGTTACTTTGGATTTTCTTTTAACCTGCACTCTCTTAAGTTGCATTTGGAAGGCAACATGCCAATTCCACTTGAAACAAAGCAGGTAGTAAGTGGTGCCAGAAACCAAATTGGATGGTCCAACCCACTTTCTCTTTCTGACAACCTTTTTCTCTTTCCCGCCCACTTTCTCTTTTCAACATCCTCTTTTTTCTTTCTGAAGTAGCAGACTGCGAGGAAAACAATAGATTAGTTCAGTCCATAGGTGTAAACTAAATGTCTGCAATGAACTGCCCCCAGAGATCAGGGTTATCCCTGATCTCCCTTCCTTTCGCCGCGCCCTCAAGACTTGGTTATTCCAGCTTGCAGGACTGGCCTAGGGTAATTTTTAGGGGGGGTTTAATTATATTTTAAATTCGACAAATATTTAAATATTCCTTTTAATCAATTTTAAATTTGTATTGTTTTGTATGTATTTTAAATAGATTGTCAGCCGCCCTGAGTCCTACGGGAGAAGGGCGGGATATAAATCCAAATATAAATAAATAAATAAATAAAATAAAATAAATAAATCAGGTTGAGAACTGTAAAAATCTTAGGTTGTGAATAATCTAAGCTCTGTCCTAAAGAATTTCTCAACTAAGGGACCACTTGCAGGTTTCTTAATGGTTTTATCTGAGGTACAATATTTCCTAACTGAAAAGATAAATCTTCAAAAGCTTTTTCTTCAGTGGATAGATCTTGTTATGACAGCTTTGATGGCTGTAACATCTTTAATGTATCAAGTTCCAACAAAAAAAACCCCAACAAAGCAAAACACCAGAGACATTGCGTTCTCTAATGTAAACTTTATTAAGTAAGATAGAAGGGAAACTAGCTCTGAGGAAATGGCAGGAAGCAGATAATTAAACTCTCTCTGACAGTTCAGGTCACATTGTCCAATATATCTTCCAGTAATTGTTGCGAGAAGAAACTTCAGTTCCAAAATAACTCTTCAACGACTAAGGAACACCTGTGGTTCCCAAGCTCTCCCCACTTCCCACCCTTGTACTGTAGGTAAGCAAGAAGCATTACAGTGGTCCTAAAGGCAGTAGGTTTTGTGGCTTGACATAATGTTCTCTTCTAGAAATTGTACAGGTAGTCTTAGGTTACAACCATGCATTTAGTGACAGTCCCTTAAATGAGGGGGGGCTTCATAATCAATCCTAGGAGTTCTGGCTGCTGCAGTGACCCCACAGCTAGGTGATCGTGATCTGCGGTAGTGTTTGGTGCCCGGCTCATGATTATGACATCACAATGAGCCCCAATCACATGATCATCATTTCCAATGATCCCTGTCAGTTTCCAACAAGCAAAGTCAATGAGAAAACCAACAAAAGATTGCAAGTCCTGTAGTTCTTATCCACAGCTCTCACCTGCTAGCTTTCTTGCCTCTTCCCTTAATGACCCACATAGTCCTGCACAGTGCTTTTTTTGTAAAAAAAAAAAAAAAAAAGTGCCAGAACTCACACATGTTATACAACCCACCTTGCCTACCCTACAAGGTTCCATCCAAAAAAGGTGCCGGAACTCCGTTCTGGGCGTTCTATGACAAAAAAAGCCTTGGTCCTGGAGTTATGACAACCTCCTGTATTGTCAGGATTGTCATTGCTAAGTGATGTAGTCACATGATGTCATTGCTATTGTAATACAAGGACTACCTATATTCCTCACTGTTTAAGTTTGCAAGTAAATATTTGAACCAAAGACTCCCTGAGTATAAATGTAAAGGCCATCTCTAGCAACGCAAGCTTCTAGAGATTTCTCCTACACCAGAATGCAAGTACTTTTTTTTTTTTTTGCAACTGGTGACTACCTGGACAAATCCCTGCGATTCTCTTGGCAAGATTTCAGAAGTGGTTTGCCACTGCCTGTTTCCTAGGCCAAGAGACAGTGACTAGCCCATGACACCCAGCTAGTTTTGTGCCTAAGATTGGACTATAACTCACGATTTCCTTGTTTCTAGCCTAATATTTTAACCATTACACCAAACTGGCTCTCTACACACAAAAGTTACCTTAAAATAATCTCTTCTACCTATAATAAGAAAGCCTAAAGAGCTAAGTGCCTAAATCCCTGAGAAAAACACAAGTTGAAGTTAAATAGCCATGGAGGAGTTTGCTGGAGGCTTGTTTTATAATTTCCCCAGGAGAAGCAACTAACTGTTGGGAAGGAAAGAATGGAATTTAAACACATTTCAGGTGGTACAATTGCATCTTCCAGGACCCCAGAAACAATATAACATAACCCATGCTTCTGGAGGTAGAAGTAATCAGATTTATATTAGGATTGATTTTATTTTGCATGTGCTCAAAGCAAGTTGCCTAGTTTTTCCCCTTCATTTTCTTTTGGATGGATCTATCCATTGTTTCTTTATTTACATCTGGCTTTTTGAGTCCTAATTCTTTTTTTTTTTGAAGCCTAATACTGTAATACATGCTTGTAAGCTGTGTGTCTTAATATACTACAAATACTTTTTAAAACAAATATATTAGTATTAGTTTATGTCATGGAGAGCTGGAATCTGATATCATGCCTTGGAAGGAAGAGACTTTTGCAGATGAACTACTGAGATACCAGAACGTAAGGTACCTTTGCATTTTGTAAATTAATGGAAGGAGGATGCTTTTGGCCTTCTTTCTATTATCCTGGTGCCTGCGCTGCCTACATTACACTATTTCCTTAATAATGAGAAAAATATGCATTCTTCTTTACACATTCTAGAATGGAAGATACATATTAAAATTAAACCTGGATGAGCTTTTTCTGAAATTAAGTTTATCCCATTTATACTCTCAAAGTGAATTCCTGAACCTGAATTGGAAAGGCATGTTACTACTTTGTCCTGTATGTTTCCAATCTATGTGAATTCCAAAACATACAAAAAATCATCCCCTCTTACCTATTAGAAAAAGTAGGGCCTTTTTCTGGCAGCAGGCTAGAGAAACATGGGATTGGGGAGAGATGACTGTGTTTCTCAGCCCCATGAAATGACAAAGTGCGTTGGGTGCCATGAGCTTCCTCCTCTTCTTCTTCAGGCTCCTCCGGTCCAATGGTAAACTGAAAGAAGCAGTGCAAAGGGTTAACATGACACAACATTATTCAGAAAATTAACTTTCCTATTGCTTTGGTTAAAACTGAGAAAAAATAAGGGACAATGAACTTTTAACACCAGGGGGAAAAACGGAGATGATCCCCCCCCCCTTTTTTTTTTTTTGCTTTTTATCAGTCAACAGTTTCATACTAACATTGTGCTATAAATGTCTATGGAGATTCTCAATCATCCAGGTCATGGTTGTTCCAAATGTACTTTTCAAAAGCAATTAGACTTGCTTGGGTTTTTTTTTTCTTTGAAAGCATTTTGCTTCTCATCCAAGCTTTTCAGAACTGAAGAAGCTTCTTGGATGAGAAGGGAAATGTTTTTAAAGAAAAAAAAAAGCAAGAAAGCTCAGTTGCCTTTTGAAAAGCATATTTGGGGCATTGTGCTATAGAGATCCCTACCTTTGACAAATGACACACACACACACGCATACCAAACACAAAATACCCAATCCCTCTTGCACATGGGATTTGGGAACTCGAATTTCAAACTTCTTTCTTGTGCATGAACCTCCAAGCCCCAAACTCCTCTTGCAGTGTGGAATGCCTGCAGTTCAATTCTCACCGGCTCAAGGTTCACTCAGCCTTCCATCCTTCCGAGAAGGACCCAGATTGCTGGGAGGAATATGCTGACTCTGTAAACCACTTACAGAGGGCTGTAAAAGCACTGGGAAGCGGCATATAAATTTAAGTGCTTATTGCTATGGCTATTGGAAGTCTCTCACCTCAACACTTTTTTCAGTCAGTCCTGCTGTTAAAGTGCCCAAAGACCTCTCTTTGGGAGAGGATTCAAGATCAGACTCGGCTGAGATTTCCTTCCCCAGAACCTCTTCCCCTTCAGATTCTGCTTCTTCTTCTTCTTCCTCCTCCTCCTCCTCTTCTTCTTCCTCCTGGATGGTTGGAGTGACGTTGGAGGGAGGCATAGACATTTTCCTTGCCTTTTTCTTCTTTTTCTTTTTCCTATTCGAATGAAGACGTCTCTTCTGGGTCTTCGGGGGTGGAGGCAGGTGGGTTGACAGGGGGTGATGGATGTGGTGGGATGTTTGGCGATGGACTGTGGAAGAGAAACAGTGGAAGGGATTGTATTCTGGAGAGAGAAGAAAAAACTTTCTACAAAGCTTAAAAAAACGAAGAGAAAAATAGAAAAAAGAGATAGGAAATTTATCCATCTAGTTAGAATGTATGTTCTTCTTGTCCCTCCTGGGATTTTAATAGTACCACTAGAAAAACATGTATTGTTTACAATATGCTAGAATAACATGTAATTATTTGTATTGTATTTTTCAGCCAGTAAGACTTAAAGAATTGTTTATAGATTGATTGATCAGTAATAAAAAGACATTTGCTGTTCTCAGATTTGTATAAAAATATATTCTCTTGCAGTATGAATGTACTAACAAATCGACCTGGTTTTAAGCTTTCTGAAATAAGCTTACCAGATCATAATATCACAAAGCTGCACATTGTATTGGATATTTGCCTAAAATCCAAAATTCATCTGGAAGATATTGAAAGATAAAAATGTCCATATTTCTCTTTAATATAATGATTGGGAAAATGGATCTTACAAGTCAATGTGCTATTTGGCAGTGTATCCACAGGGGCAATATAATATATATTTGATGGAAAACAATTTGAACATGAAATCAAATGTTAATTTTTGTTTTGATTTGATATTTGAATCAAATAACTCTTGGAGTTTAGCCTTTCCCATGCCAATAAGTCTTACATGTAAATATAAAGAACTGATAATCTTACTAAGGTAACCTATTAGCTGGAAATAATATAGTTCTATAACAGTGATGGTGAACCTTTTAGAAACTGAGTGCCCAAACTGCAACCCAAAACCCACTTATTTATCACTGGGTGCCAGGTGGGCGTGGCCCACTGGGTGGGCGTGGCTGTGGTGGTCATGGCAGACTGTATGGGTGTGGCCAAGATGGGCGTGGTCACCTCGATGTTGCTCATGGGGAGGGATGCCTGTGGGGACCGGGCAGGGTTGGGGGAGATCCAGGGGGTCTCTGGCAGGTGGGGCAGTGGGCAGGAGGCTCGTCCTGTGGGGTGAGGTGAGGCAGGGCTGGCGAGGCAGGGGCCGGGGCAGCTGCTGCCTGACACCATCGGCCCCCGCAGAGGCCAGCAAGCGCATGGGGGCCAACAGTGTCCATCAGCAGCCACAGCCTGCCAGCCCCTCGACCGGCGCACTCTGGGGCTCTGCAGCCCACCACAAGAATTTCAGAGAAGCTACCTCTAAGCTGGACAGATGGCAAACAGCTGAGGAGGCGCTGCAGTGGGTCGTGCCTGGGAAAAGGAGAGCATGTGAGGCCAGGAGGGATTGGACAAGGGGGAGGGAAACCAGCCGTGCTGGGATGCATCCGGCCATGTGGGACCTCGGCGAGTTAGCGGGCAGCTGGTTGAAGAAAGACGGTTGCCATCTCTGGGGCATGGCAACACAGAGCGGGCTCCGAGTGCCGCCTCTGGCACGTGTACCATAGGTTCGCCACCACTGTTCTATAATCTATAATCTATAATTCCCATTGCATTAGGAAGCTTGTTGCATCTCTCACATATGTCAATCATTAAATACTCCTAAATCTATTTTTCATTTTAAGATTTAAGCCATGTCACTCAAAAAAGCCAACACAGTTCTAGGCTGCATCAAGAGAGAAATAGTATCAAAATCATGGGAAGTGATAGCACCATTCTATACTTTACTAGTAAGGCCACATTGCGAAGACTGTGTCCAGTTCTGGTCACTATGATACAAAAAAGATGCTGAAGCCCTAGAAAGAGTTCAGAGAAGAAAAAAATAGATGATAAGGGGTCTGGAGGTTAAATGATATGATGAACAGCTAAGGGAACTAGGTATGTTTAGCCTAATGAAGAGAAGGCTCAGGGGAGACATGATAGCAATTGGAAGACTGTCATATGGAAGAGAGTGTTGATTTATTCTCCATAACCCCTGAGGGCAAGAAAAGAAGTAGCGGATGAGGCTTATCAAAGGGAGATTCAAACTGAAAATATGGAAGGATTTGCTGATAGTGAGAATAATTAATCAATGGAACAGCTTACTGCTTAGAGTTGTTGATGCTCCATCATGGGAGGTTTTCAAGAAAAGATTGGAACAACCATTTGTCTGACATGATTATAAAGACTCCTGCTTTAGACAGGGGATTGAATTAAATAGAAGACCTCCAAGATCCTTTCCAGCCCTATGATTAGAATTCTATGATAAGTCAAGAGTTTGGGACAGAAAACATGGACAGCTTTACCAGTATATGACTCTAGATGGCAGTCTACACTTTTGCTAAAGCAAAGATGAATACTGTATGTAAAAAACACGGAACAATATTATATAAAGAAACAGATAAAATTGGAGGGGGGAAATAAATAAATCTAGAAACAGCAATAGAGTTTTCTGACAGAATTATTTTGGTGCTATTTAAAAAGTTGCTGTGCAGCTTTTCCATCTTTTTCTTCTTAGCACATAATTATGAACCATGTATAAAAAAGCAGCAGTGGGTAAACAGAGAAGGAGCTGTACCTGTAGGTGAAAGCGTTATCTGAAATCTCTGAAGAATTTCATGAATGAGACAAGAATTTGAAAGTTGTTTGGCATACAAAAAAAATTATAGAGAACATCTCATTGGACATCTTAATTCTACGAGTAGCAGCTAATGTAACTATTAAAATACAGAGGAGGTGAAGTGGCTTGGGCACGGATTCTCACATAGTTTCATCCCACTACCCAAAGGTCTCCCTTCCTAAGCTAGGTAAACTAATAATAAGAAAGGCAGGGGTTCTCACAGCTTATTCTGAGGAATTTCAGCGTAAACGATGGTGGTTTGAAAAGAAATTTTCTACTGGTTTGCTATTGTGGACACATCAATACTTGACAAATATCTGCAGGCATGAGGAACTGAATAATCTTGCTCATCCTGATAAAGGGATGTTCAATTGGACTGGCTCTATTTTTTTTTTAAACCAATGCTCCTCTTATCATTGTGGTTCATTGCCATACTCCCTTGAAAACCAAGGGCACAGATGATCATATCTAGCACATAAGAAGAGATGCTGCCTAGGGAATAATCAGACAAGGACAGCATAGCAGACAGCAAGATAGTGGACAGGACAAGAGGCTCAGAAGGAAACCTCCCTAATTTCTGGGGCAGTAAAGGAGATGGCAGCAGGACAGTACTTTCAGACTTGCAAGGTTCTGTTAATGCAGCTTTACCATAAAGTAGAATAAGCACATCTGGCTGTGATTCCCGTCTGGCCTACTTGGTAAAGCTGACATCAGTCTTGCAAGAAAAGGGTTTCTTCATTTCAAGTACACTGTTAAACATAAACATATAAACATTTTTATATATTGCAAAGGAATGTATACATAACGAAAACCATAGCCAATGTGATTATGAGGGCAGACTGAGAGAATTCGTGAGGGATACGAAAATGGTAAATGTGAATATGGAGTTGACCATTTTTGGTAGTGTTAAGAGTGTAATTTTGGAAAAAATGGAAATGGAAAAATAAAGTGACTGCTGGTAGAAAAAGTCTGATTCTAATGTGGAAAAATACTGAATGGCAGTTCAATATCGCAACAGAAATAATGACTATAAGGAAAGAGGATAGGAAAGCTGTTTGGAGCAAAAACAGGGTAAAAATGCTATGTCAAATCACTGAAATATTATGCTAATGCGAAGTGTACAAAAAGACAGTTGGTATAAGGTGAAGTGAAAAAAGCTGTAGATGAGTAAACATGTAAATAATATGATTGCTGCAAAAGCTACTACTTAATGTAGAGGGACATTTTGATTTAGCAGTTCTTGATATAACAACTTTGGAGGCAAGTGATGAAATGTCTGTGATGATTTATTATTGTACACATAAAAACATTATGCAAATAACATAAACTGCCACAATGAGGTAATTGCATATTTAATGGACATTTGTAGATAACGGAGACATTGCCAATCAATAAACATGTAAAAAGGAGGTTTTAGCCTACAGTGGTACCTTGGTACTCAGTTGCTTTGAAATCCATCGAATTTGGTACTCAACGCATTTTGATGTGAAAATTTTGTCCTGGTACTCATCTTTTGTTTGGTACTCAATGCACAAGCTAGAAGTTATCAGTATTTGCTGCCTTGTGATTCACTTTATTATTCCTTATGGGAAAAATCTGTTTGGTACTCATTGTTTTTGGTACTCATCTTGCCTCCCAGACTCAATTCATGATGAGTACCAAGGTATCACTGTATTTGCAAGGAATGTACTCAAAAGCACCATTGAACAATTAAAATTAAATAAGGCAGAGAAAGTGCACAGTAATTTTTGATGAAAATTATAAAAATATTTTGGAAGTGTATATAGAGAACTAGAATGAATAGAATTTAAAAATTAAAACAATCTCATTATTTGGGAGGAAACTGAAATGCTAGAACAAGTATTTTAGAGATCTGCATTGGAATGCTAATAATACCACAAGGATTGGGACTGAAACAGATGCTGTAAATGTTACAGTCTTTCAGTGTTTCACCCTAAGGAAGCTGTGGCAATGTTGAAACATGTTAAATGTGTAGATCGTATAACTGGAGAAATATTAAATATGGATGTGCCTTACTTATAGAATAGTTGGATGACTATTAAATGTGTATGAAGATTGCATTTGTGTCTTTGGATGGAAGAATGACACTATTGTTCATCTATATACATAGAAAGATATAAGGAATTCATTTATTATGTGGGCCTGGGAAGGTGTTAGATGGAATTCTGACTGAAGGGTATGAAAAAGTGTTAATGAGCAAAATTTGAGAAATGTGACTTTATGCTAGGGACAGGGAATGAAGACCAGATATTTGAACTTCAGTAAGACTCTGAGAAATATATTAATATAAGGAAGAATGTTTAAGTATGTTGTTGCTTTACAGAAAGTATATACTGAACTGGAAAATGTTAATCCAACTCACCTATCATTCTAAGATTAGATCAGCAAAGTCTATTAGGAAGAATGATAAAGTAAACACAAGAATTCCAGTGAGGTTCCATTAAAACTCTAAATAGGCAATTGAGAGCAGTTAGCTCTAAACAGAAAACTCTATATAGGAAATTCAAAGTAGTCAGTTTGTTTTTTGGGAAGTTTTTGAGAAAGAGATGAGGCTGCACCTAGAAACAATTCTGGAGACAGCTGCTAGTGTCCTTATTATGGGAATCAGCTTTCTCAAAATGGAATGCTTAGAGAATGGCTCAATAAATGAGCCAGGAGAATGGAAAGGATGCATAGGTATTTATAGATAAATTTACAAGGAATGCATATGATGGTTTAATTGTGTATATGAATTTATGTGGTCATTTGTAGTTGATGTCTATGGAGATTCTTAATCATCCAGATTCCAGGCCATGGTGCTTCCAGCTGACAAGCTCAGCATCTTACCCACTGAGCCACCAGGCCCCCCTGAGAAAGTATGTTTGATAAAATGCTTATTAAATATGGAAATTCACAATGAAATGATAAGACATGCAAATGAAAAGGTATTAGATAGTACCTGGTCTGCTGTGATAATTGAATGTTAAAAGAAGCAAAAATGGCTTGGTGTAATAGCAAGATTTTGTTCATTTTGCTCAGACAAACTTCTATTTTTCTTTTGATTGGAAGTGAAAGTTGAATGGTTAGTTGAAACATCAGATTAAGCAAAACAGTGGGAACTGAATATTTTAAAAAGGAAGTGCAGTAAAACTAGAAGAGATTGTCAAGAATAAATGAGTGATGAATGTGGACTGAATACTATGGATGAGTAATTTCTACCTAAGTATGTTGAGGTGGTTTGAATGAGGATCAAATTGCAAAACAAATATATGCAGGCAAAGTCAAGAAGTTGAAAGGGGCATAAAGATGAAGAAAATTGTGGTTGGAGGGAGTTGATTAAATCCTCAAAAATAGAGAGAAGTTTAAATGCAATATATATAAAGCAACATGTAGAAATTTCTTCTTCCACTGGCTGGAATAATTGCTATCAAAACAGGGAACAAGGAACAGATGTAGGTGACCAACTTTCACAAAAAAGAGCAGTTTCTACTTCTATTCATAGGAAAACCAGAAAGAAGCTAACAAGTGTCTTGTTGTCCTAATTATTATATGAGTCTCATTTGAAAGCAGGGAACTTACTGGAATTGTATCATTAACCTTTTTTCTAAAAAAAATGCTAATATTAATATGCTATTAATGAGGTATGGAAAATATAGTGAACTGTATTCCGGTAAACTCATTTTCTTATTTCATGACTTTAATTGCTTTGTCTTAGTATTTCTTATTCCTCTTCTGCAGTCTATACAACACTGCTCATGTTAAAAGGAAAAACATGATAATATATATGTGATTATATGAACTTAGATGTTTTGTAGATACATAATCAGTGGATCTCTTAAAATTAAAAAAATACACAGTGGTTTTAATTTATATATCCAAAAACGTGGCCGCATTCTTGGAAAGATTACACACACCATATGTGGGCGTGACTCTTCCACATCCTGCCTTATAAAAGCAGTTGAGGGGTAAGTGGATATGAGTGATGATTGTTGTATCACTGTGGCAATTTTTTTTTATGTCTAAAAAAGTTGGTGGTGAAATTTTTAGTTTAAAAAAGATACACAAACACAATAGCTTTATAAAGATTGTAAAATGTAAAGTGTTAATTTAAATCAGCTTTCAGGAGCTAAGATGTGTATGCCGATTTTTCACCAGTCCTCTACTAATTTTTTCCAAAGACAATGGAAAAATATGTGCTCCCAATTTCTAAGTTCCAAAGGAAAAATAAAGACATATTTTATGATAACAAAGAAGTGTAGTCTTCCATTTACTATTCTTCACTCTTTTCTGCTTACTGAGGTTGTAAATATCTTGTAGGTATTTATTTTAAAAGATGTTGAATTGTCAAGGAACATGAGAAGGATAAAGGAAAGGGTGAAATGATAATAGAAAAAGTAATAAAGTGATTTCTGTGCAAAAAGGTGAGGTAAAAATCAAAACATTATTACCTCAAAAATAAAAAGAAGAAACTATAAAAATAGTGCTCTAAAGTAGAAGAAAATCATAAGGATAGGATAAACAATATCCAAGTAGATTCTGCTCAAACAGGTGAAGTATGACAAGCTTTAGTTAGACTTAAAATATTCAGTTATTTGGAATTCCGCATGGGAGATTGGTGCTTTCCTTTCTGTTTTGTCCTTTCCCAAACACATTTCTTTTTTTAAATCCAGAGTTGATTATCTGGTTCTAAATGAAAACTCTTATTAAAAGTTTCCTTGTGTGTAAGACTACAGAACTACATATCTATAACTTGAGTTCACAGGATCTTTCCAAGGTTAAGTATTGTATTTCTGGGCTTTGACTAGGAAGATCCAAGTACTTTCTCTTCTATTATTTCTGGAGTTCGACTTAAAAAAAGCTCCTGGCAGAAAGCTAAAAAAATTCCCATTTGAGCTGATTTAGATGTGTCAGAAGATTCAGTTTGTTTAGTGGCAGACTACTGAAATTATTTCTGGAAACTCCCTGGAAGAGGAAGAATTATGCACACACCTTGAGGAGCTCCTGGGGGAAAGGCAGAATATAATTTTTTTTTAAAGAAGTCTCTTTAGGGATTCAAGTCTTGAAATTATTGCCATTCCTAATATATCACAATCATCTTGAAGAGATTAAAAAAAATCAGTCAAAAATGAATGCAAAAGAAGTCTGTCACTGTTCAGTAACTGCTATTCCTTCTAATTTCTTTAGCAAAAGGCTCAGATATAATTCAGAAATCATAAAAGCTTGCTCATCAGATTTCAAGGACACATTGTGCAGCTTAGTAACAATGAATGTATCCCATCAGCTCTAGAACCTGCAGGTAAAATGCAGGTAACATGATAGCATGGATAAGGGCTATAATTGTTTTTACTAATAAAAATCATAGGTAAATTTTTCATTTGGAAATATAGAGTTTTGACATGCAATAATCAGCATTATAATATTAGTAAAATAACTGTGTAATGTTGCTGACATTCAAAATCATTTAACTGGAAGGAAGATAAAAGCACAGTAAGTGCAACAATGTGACAATGTACAGAACTATGTATTGCTTCCCTATCTGATGCTTCCAGACTTTCCAGTCATCCCATTAGCATAATCCTTTGCAGGATAAGCAATCTGGACAGTACCAAATTAAAGTAAGTTGGACACATCACAAAGAACGATTTGGCTAATTAAGTAAGGATGATTTTGATAGGATAAATACATGTCAATCTCTCATGAATATATGTTTTTAAAACCATTTTTCCGTATATATATTAGCAATCATTTGTGCTTGGAATTAAGGTTAATTCCAGATGGCAAGTTAAACTGTTCCTGCATGGCAGCTTAACCTGCTGTTGCTAAGGTTGACCATTCTGAATTGAAGTGGTTTGGCAATGAAACCACATTAACACTCAGTCCAAATGATAGCCATTGCATATCCTGACTGATCATTTTTTTCCTTCCTGCCTTACTATCCATGCAGGGAAGACAAGATTTGTTGACTGGCCTCTGCCTGGACATGGCATTTCCCAGTTCCTACCTTTTCCTTTTAGGAATTGTTCCCTCACTATTGGTCTTTTTCTTTATTTTCAGATATTTGCACATATGAATGCTTTCACTTCCTCTTTGCAGGTCTTTTTTTTCTTGACATTTTTTTAAATTCTGCCATTACTGCTTTAATACTGTAAAAATTAAAACAAAGTGACTATTTCCTGATTCTGATGATCCATGGTAAGTCCATGGGAACACTGTAGTAAGGAAGAAATTCTGGTTCAGCTTTAGAGAAACAAAAGTAGAAATCAATAGTTTCATTCCAATATATCCATGTTGCAAGATTTAGGAGAGAAAAAAAGATCTTTGTGTTAAATAGTTTAAATAATTGCAAGGTTTGTTCTAATCAAACTGTGTGAGATTCAGGTTGATGGAGATTACACAACTAAATGCTAGCCTTCAATAGATCCGGAGTTCTGTATGCATTAGCAGCCTACGCATATGCCTATGTCTGTGGCAATAAGATAAACAGGATGGAAATGAAAACAGATCTTCCATTTTTCTAGCACTAACATTTGTAGGAACAAATGTGTTTCATATTGATGTTTTTTTACATAATTGATTATCTTAAACTAATTTAAAATCAACCTTGGGATCAGAATAAAGCTAAACATAATGTAAAAAATCCCCTCAAACTCATAGTATTTTTCAGCTTTTATGGGCACTCTAGTTGTTCCAAGGTCATGTCTCCTATAAATATAAATATAGGTATGCTTCTCTGTCTCTCAGTAAGACAAAAAAAAAAAAGGCAATTGTGAGACAGGAAGGTCTAAAATGCAGACCAAAGTCCACAAAAAATGTTTTGTACCATTATTGTTTAATAAAATATAATAGTATTTTAAATGCCAAATGAAACTTGTATTCTAAAACCCTTCTTTTCTTGTAATCAGATTTCATTGCCAATATTTAGGATTTTTCACATAACTAAAACGTGTATACATCTGCGTCAGCATCAAAGTTCTACATTCTCAGATTCTTAACACCAGCTTTTTCTATTTTCAAAGTTTAACATTTGTTTAAATGTTAAATGTTTTAGTTTTAGTCAGGTTGGGTATGCTACATTCCATTATACATTATTTAGAAAAATATAGCAATCTGCAGTGGGGTGACCTAATTACTATTTATTAATTATAGCATATAAGATGCATTTGGGCAAAAGCCTTCACATTACTAAATACTGTTCCTACCTGAAGACTTAAGGTAGGACCAGCTTACATGATTTACCTACATTCAAAGTCGGTCTCAGAGTAGTTGCGGCCTTGCTTTTCCTGGTCTCGTAATGCAGACTTGCTGATCAGGTCTCCAAACCGTTCAACACCCAAGGTCTTGTCCAACTCCTCCTCATCCTCCGTGCCAGGAAAGGCTGCCTCATCATCCCCACCATCCTGCACATTAGTCAACAATATCATCAGCAAAACAAAGAAATATCTCAATACAATCCCTTATTCCAGGGAGGCATCGAAAGCACAGATGCCTCTTTGCCTGCTTTTCCCAAATAGCACCCTCAGTCATATTTCCCCACTGTACAGCCTCAAAACAGTAGAACTGGGAGGACAATGAGGGATCGTTGATCCCAACCCCAATTTCAAACTTGAACCCTTTATTTGACTGTTCTAACCTGGTTTTCCTTCATCCCCAGATTAGGAATCTATCACAGCTGGATGCTAGGATGTCTGTCCAAATATCCAAATACTGTAAAAGCAAGTAGACTGTGCCTGGGTTTATCAGTTCCAGACCTTCCTTCAACATGCACATTCTCCACTCTCTTCAGGATGAGTAGAAGTAAATCTGATATTTAAACTGTCAAGTTCCTTCCCATCCCCCTCCCATTCCAGAGGGAGACCCCGGGATTTTCCACCTCATCAGGGAACCAGGCTGGGATAGCACAAGTCAAGGACAGGTGGTTTGATCCTGGAATATACAACTAGAAGCAGAATATATACAATGTAGTTCACTGTACTCCACATTACATTAATTGGGGGCATCCCAGTGGCTTCCTACAAGTCCTTCTAAGGCCCGAGGTGTTTTTCTCCATCTTCTCCGATTCCTTTCCAAGTCTTTGCCACTGGGCAGCAGCTTATCTTCTGCTCAACCCCAAATTCTCCCTCTTTGTAGTTATTTCTATAATTTCCTCACACCCCTGGCCCCAAGGGTATAAACTGAAAAGAGGACAGGAAGTAACAATCATGAAAGTTTAATCCTGGGAACTCTCTCAGTTTGGGCTCTTTCAGATCTTTAGCTCCAGCCACTGGTAAAAAAACATTCCTGTCAATTTAGCCTGAAATGCTGGTGCCAAGCTGTTGTGGACTCTTCGGTTACTATGGAAACACAGTAGGCCCTGCGATGGCAGATCTTTGCTGAATCAGAGAAAGCAAAACAGGTCTTAGCTAGAAACATTTAGCTTTAGGGAAAGACCTTCATAGCCCTTCTGTTGCCCGGCCAGGTGAGTTTCTGCATCATTGCCACAAAGGCAAGGCAATTGCAGCAAGTTTTAATTAGAGATAATTTCCATGGATGAAGCTGGATTAATTTCTTGCCATAAAAGTAAACATAGAATTCTGTAACATTTCAAAGAGTAACACTTGTATTATGGCATATTTTTTGGTGACATCTAACGAACTGGAGCATTATTTGTGAAAGCTTATTAAATGCTGTTATAGATTTGTTTGTGTTTACTATACCAGGAATTCTCTGTTAATTTAAATTAAATTCTAGGTTCAGCTTGGAATACATTTCTAGTGACAAAACTAATTTCTATTATGTATAAATGATGATAGGATATAAAGGATATTTTAGAGCATACTGAGTAGGTATACCCTAGAAATAACATGATTGTAGGTAAGGACATACAGATTTCAACCCCTCGACCCATTATTTTAGACATTCAACACTGCTCTGTAATAGTATATCTGATGGCTTTTGAAGCAGCCTATCAGTAAATAGTCAATTTGCTTTTGGTGTACGCCGCAGGGCTGATACAGCATCAAATTTCTTTTTTATGGAAAATTACAGAGAGCCCATAGAGCTAGAGATTCCAAATGTCATAAATTATATCTTTATGTTTCATTTAGAGGACTTCATATGGGGACTAAAAGTGAAGCAAAGGTCAGTTATTTCTTACAGAAGTATGTTTTTCAAATTCAAAATTTCTTTATCAAAAATATGTAAGATCCAGTCTTGAACTATATATCACAAAATACATTCCATTACCTGTTCACTTGGAATTTTGTAAGCATAACAAGAGGATAACATAGTTGCAGATTGACCTACCTTTCCAAATAGTTAGCTGTTATTGACTTGAATTAAATTGTAGATTATTGCCATATTAGTAACATATCAACATTATATAGCATGATAACCACTTTCTCCCAACTGCTTTGTACGTATTTTATTATAAAACAATAGTTAGGAGACAGTATAGAATTTTATACAATGCAGCTAATTATATGAAATTGTCTGTTCACAGAAATTAACCTTTCTAGTTTATGAAATGCCACAAAAAGTACAGGAATGTAAATTTAGAAAAAGCAAGTGTCCTCCTCTTTCCTGCAGCTATCTGTAGTGTCTGAAAGCCTGAGGTCAAGCATACTTCCTAAACAATGTAGAATGAGAAGAATGACCGAAAGCCAGACTGATGTCCACTCTATTAGACTACTATTAGATTTATATTTCATAATTCCTTAATATACTCAAAGTGGAATACATATCACTCTGTCCCCAGTTTTATCTTTTCCATAACTCTACCATATAAATTGGGCTGAGAGACAGCAACTGGCCCAAAGTTATCTAGTGAACTTTTTTTTATTGTGAACCTAGATTTCCACTACCCTAACTGCATCTTAACAATTGCACATTTCTCTCCCCTAAACCTCCTCATCATGCTGTTTAAGGAGTCCTCCACTCTTTAAGGAAGACTTTTGGGGAATGCAGATGATTGCAGGATATGAAGATGATTAAACCCTTTTGCTGTTTACTGCCAATATCTCTCTTCTGAATATGAAAAAGACAAAATGTTGGTACTGACTACCAGAAAGTAAATTTTTAATCTGTTGCAAAAAACATCAATTTAAAGTCTTATGGCACTTTAAAGACTCAAAAAACTCTGCAACTAAGCTAATGACTTAAGAAATCTGTTTAGGCTTTAAAATGCCACAATAATTTCTCAAGACTTCCAAATCTTTAAAATGCCATAAGACAGAAAAAACATTGAGTGGTATTTTTTAATTATGGGAGCAATGAACTAGTAGTCTAATGTAGTACTTGGACTGGGAAGAATATGAATGATTCTAGCTTGCATTTCAACAACTTTTCTTAATTTCCAGTTTCCATATCTTTCCATTTTTGCAACCCTTGAAAATCAACCATTAAGGCATTTTTTAAAAAAAAATTACCTGCTGTACATTAGTGAAGATGCCTCCCAAAGAAGTGGTATCCCCAGCTGCCATCTTGGTTTACAATCTATGGGCCGTCATGCAATGTTTGGGCAAGTATCAACCCTTCTCTTTCATTAACAGGCATCCAATAAGTCTGAGGCGTGGCATAACCTGTGGAGAAAGGACATAAAACCTTGGCAAGGGGATCAGAGAAATGGCAGGAAACTGTAGCTACAACTGTGAGGATTAAGAGCTAATGGAAAATAAGAGCCACTATTCAAAATCATGCGACATCCTTATGCATGACACCGAGTTCTAAATTAATTATAAGCACTCAGAAAAGAAACCTGGATATTGCTCCACAGTTCAGCAACTTACTTGGTTCAGATTGCATACAGGTTAAGTATTATGATGTACAAGGAATGCCTAGCACAACAATAATTTAATAATTCAGAAAGTCATGTGCCATCATAGTCACCAGCTTCATGAAGTAATGAGGGGAATGGGAGTGAATGTCCATTGAAAGATCCTGAGAGTTAACTGAATAGATTGAGGAGTGAAACAAAGTGAGATCCCACAACAGATGTTTGCAAAGAATAAACAAAGAACAAATAATACAAGAGTTAAATGGCAGCCATTTATAGTTAATCAGAGGCACAGTTGAGTAATCTCTCTATTTGTGTAATCCTTATGTAGCCATTGGGTCTCACAAAGTTTCTGAATACCATCTTGGGATTTTCCGATCATTCTTTAAAATAATTGGACAGTACACAGAACTGCTCTCTTTATCTTTGATTTAAAAAGGACTTGTGAAAGTATTTTTTTCCTTTCCCGCTGGGCTGATTTAATTTTTAAACGATCTGTTTCAAGAGCAGTTGCTGATCAATGTTTATTTTATATATCCAAAGGCTGATTGGATAAGGCCAATTAATAACTTCAGAGAGTTTTCTCTAGAAGAACCAGAATCTATTAGTTTCTTTAGAACAAATCGCAACTGGACCACAGCAATGGAATTGTTTGTTGCAAATGGGGACATTAAACTGATTGTAAAGATTTTCTAAATTAAACAAATCACAGTGTCAAATAAATTTAATTATATATATGTTTTGCATTTTTAAATTGCTGACGTGAACCAGAAATAATTTAGAGTTCCTAAAAAGGCCATGCAATCAGCTCATTTAAAAGCGAGACTTTATTATATAGCAAACGTTTAAAAACATACATATGCAAGTCCTGGACTGCATGAAGAATCTTATGAAATGCTTAAATTAAGACAGTAATTGCTTTCCTGGGCAAGAAAAACTGCCCTTGGGCAGTAATAAATATTGTCTAGAAGACCGATACTATTTTATTATAATGCTCTAAAAGGTAAAAATTCTTGAATGGAGCTCAGTTCCTGATGATCACACAGACACAACCATGCAGCTAGTTCTAGGCAGCTTTCTATATGAGTTTACAATAGCTAACTTTAATGTTTAAAAATGCATTCTATTTTTAGTTTTATTTACTTATAAAACTTCCAAATAAGGTTTGTAGTAAGTGTAGCCTGCTGGTGATAAATATTTCCAACTAAATAGTACTAAAAGAAGCTTCGTAAACTTTAGAGAGATTGCTACAGGGATGTCATTTATAGACCTTGCATATCTAATAATGATGCTACTAATGGTTAGCACCCCAGTTCTGAAATATCCTCCTCCACGGGATCCAAGTCATACAGATATTATAATCTTTCAAGGGCTACATCAAGACTTACTTGTTCTGGCATTTTAGAAGAATATATTAATAGCCATCCAAGGGAGGGCAGTTTAGAACCAAGCTAAAGATTTTTATTTATTTATTTATTACATTTCTACCATCATATTCCAACAGGACTTTCAGTGCTTTTACAGGAATACATAAAACTACTGCAATGTCCATGTTCCATTTTAAAAAAGAAAGTTTAAAAATATAAAAGAACCAAACTCCCCTCCCCCAAAAAACAGGTGTCCCAAATGTCCTCTGGAAGAGCTGTTTTCAGCTGTTTCTGCAAGGTAGCTAATGTCAGATTATTCTAAGATTAGTTTTAGATTAATCTAAGCTTTAGTGGAAGGCCATTCTAGAGAACTGACGCTACTACAGAAAAGCAGCGTCTTCAAGCCTGCCAAACATCCCAAATCTGAGAAGTTACCAGCTGTTTTTTTCCAGCAAGAATGAATTTCTCCAGCCAATTCTAGTTTGTGAATGCACCCTGAAAGCATAAATTAAGCATTGGTCTTCTGTCCACTTATATTATTTTGAATAATAATGTTCAAAGTACAACTCTAGAGCTTTTTTTTTTACATACGGTAGTACCACTCATCTAGTCAAAAGTAAACACATCCCCAACATCTGCTTATAATCTCATTTGCTGCTGCTAATGTTATCTCTCATGTGCTGAGATGGGTCAAATTAGAGATCTCCGTCAGTTTAACACCAACATTCCTCATAAGAGTAGGAAATCATGTACTGTACTGTGCAGGCACTGCAAAAGTTCTAATATTTTAAAATATGAAGTTTTGCTATTATGCAGATTTAGTTCTATAAAGTTTGCTAGTTGATTCTGAATGACAATAGGTCTCTAGAAACTCAGGCAAATCTTCCTTTGCTTAAAATTCTGAAGATACTATGCAACAACACTATCCTGTTTCCTTTCCATTTCGATGTCCACATTCACTGCTCCCTAAAGTGCAGCAAGCAATGCTAAAACCTAAGGCTTTTACAACTGCATAGCAGAGAAAGAAAAAAAACCATATAATGATAGGAAAGAAAAATAAAATGTGCTCTCTTTTTATTTTTGGAAGTTTTTATCGCATACATTTGGAGACTTCCTAAGCTATAAATCTAATAACATAGATTTATCCTACTTGAGTACATAGGCCCCAAATCATTCGCAGACTTCTTCATTGGCATCCACAAGCCATCCTAAAACATTTTTTGTAAAGCACACATTTGAAAAAAAAAGACATATTTGAAGCTCAAAAAAATTCAAGCTCAAAAAAAGCAAAGACGAGAATAGTGAAGTCTGATGGAGCACATTATAGAGAATTGGAATTTGTGGAAATATGATGAAGATGGGTGTCAATAGGATTAGGAGGCAAAGATCGGTAACCAGTATATTATTCATCATGCTCACAATCTAAGGTTCATATAGTAACTGTTCTAAATGGCAGCAATTTAATCATTGGAATTTCCTCCATGATGGATATGTGGAACTGCAGGTATTCAGAGGATAGATTGAAAGAACCTAAGAAGAGTATCACTAACAATAGTACATAGATCTCTGGAAATTACATCCTAGATTCATCAGTCCTGAGATAACGGCCTAGCCTTAGAGCATAAAAATCAGGACAGGGACAGCTATGAGATCAGGAGGCAAAAGGGTTCTGTGAGAAGCAGGCACCATAAGCTGTGTTTTTATTAACAAAATGAAGATTTTTAGATGGTGACTGGGGAGTTCTTTTTAAAATAGGATTTCATCTCTTTTTCCTGGAAGAACTCCTGTGTCTTGATAAGCAGAAATTGAGGAAATGATGCTTAGAAATATAGGTGCTATCCTATTGGGGAAAGGGGGAGGCAGTTAAGTTAATACTATCAACATTGACCAATACAGTCCTGCAAGGTTTCAGGCACGGGTTTTTCTAGCCCAACCAGGAGATGTCAGGAATTTAAGGTACAGTCTTAAGAAACACTTAGGAGTTTCTGATGTGTGTACTTCTACTACATAATTGATTTGACAATTAATAAATGTGCTAATTAATTATCATTATGTACAGTATTCGGACACTTCTAAAGGTTGCTGTTACTGATGTGCCATTATTGTAACTTATAGATTTATTTATAGAATAAGAATATAGAATAACTACTGATTCTTAAGGCATTATTAGTCTTGCCATTCTCTCATATGAATTGATATTTTTATTGATTATCCAGACTCTTATTTGTTTATCAGACCATTTTGGACATATTTTTATTTTGTACTTATCCACTGCTCAACATAATAGGAACACTGTTGATAATTTTGGCTTTTCCGATCAATTGCAATGAGCAAGGAAAAGCAATAGAAGGAAGAGGACAGATTTGATTAGAGACAGACGTCACTTGCAAATTATAGGTTGTTGGTGCCAAAAGGAAAAAAGGAGAGGGACTGAATGTGCAACATGACAAAATTGCTCAAAATCTCACATTGTGTATATCTAGAAGTTGAGAACTGACCCCAATGTGAAATAGATGAAGACGTACAACATTCACAGAGGCACAAGAGAGATAATTTTTATGTGTGGTTTACTATAGTAATAGGAATTGCCTTCTGTGAGCAGTACCAGAGCTCACACCCACCTCACAGCCACACCCTTTGAAATGGAAGCACTGGGCACTAAATCTGAATAAGCAGAATGGAAAATACAAATGTACCTCTTCAAAGACAGTCTATTCTTTGTTACTACATTTTCTGTCACTGAGCCCTGCCATTGAAAATGGTTCCCAGAGCTGAGTCCTACCTCAGATAAAATCCTTATGAGCAATAACGAGATGGTGATTGCTTGTCTCTAAGGTTTGCACCGGTTCTCGTGAGGGGACTGCAGACTTAACGAGCAGGATGTTACTTGCACTTCCTTTGGCATGCCAAATGTACTGGATCATATGCTGCCGAGAGGTGGGAGTGTACATACACTTGCTCTCGCACACATGTGTGCCTCAGCCCCCCCTTTTCTCTCTCTTGCATTTCCTAAACAATTGCATGGCATACTTAAATCCTGCCATCTACTAGCCTGGCAGATGCTTGGAATATCTTTTCTTGCCCAAAATAATTTTTACGCTCTGATGATTGGAGGCTAAAAACTCTTGTACAACAAGGCAGAGACGAGAGGAAAAGGATTTCTAAATGGATCCTATCATGGAAACCTGGGCTCTGTTCCGTGGGGGAAATCTCTGCCTTGCACCTGGTAATATCAGGGTAATGGAGATGCTGGATTAGAATGGGAGGGAGGCAGGAATGGGGGTGGGGAGGAAAAGAGGTGATACACAGTACCTTGCAGCTGCTGAGAAGGAGAGCGGCTTGCCTCCAGCCAGGGATCCACAAAATGCACACTGCTGCAACTGCCTTTTTCTTGCCCTCCTTCCTCCTGCTGAAGATCGCTCAACATGTGTCCATTTCCCTGCTCAGGTAGGGTGGCAGGCTGTGCTAAGACACCTCCTCCTCTTCAGTGCAGCAGCTTTCCGTTTCTACTGCAGGCAGCCATCCACTGCTACTGGCTCTGCTTAGAGACGAGCTGCACATTGGCTGCTCCTCTCCTTTATTTGAAATTCTGTGTGGTAGTGAGCTGCAAGGCTATGAGTCACTAGCTGTTTTTTTTTTTTTGCAGAAGCAGACAGCAGCTGAGCAAGTGGCTATTCTAGCGAGGGAAGTTGGAGGGAGGGTCAAAAGTAGCTTTTCTGATACAGTGACATTGGCATCACTGTGCCTAATTAGCATAGTACTAGGTTGACCCGATGCACTTTACGTACACTCATTTATACTTACATGCATTCTTGCAGTTCCACACAGCTATGTGTGCATTGTTTTTCACTGTACAGTATTTATATACGTGAGAGCTATTGTGGTCTGCTAAGCTGTTTTCAAAGTCACTGTTGCTTTCTCTTAAGAATTCTTTAATTGCACATCTCAGTCTGCCCCCTCCCCCCATGTACCATGAAGGATAAAAATACTTTCAGGATTGTTGTAATAATGATTACTGGACAATGGGCGTATGGCATTTAAATATGTACAACAGTTTTATTTATAATACAAATAACCAACCAATAAAAGAATTATACCGACGTGTAACTGTAAACAATAGAAAAATATTGTTGATAGATTGTAAAAACATTTACTTGCATAGGTATGCATTTTAAAGCAGCTTCTACTTTTAACTCGATACTGAAGCCAGTTTAGAAGTTACAGAAGGGAGGTATTTTGCTTATCAATTGCAATAACAAATCAATCCTTCGTTCTTGCAGACTTGTTTTGTCTTTCTTGCTAAAATCTAATTATTAATGCAGTTTTACCCCCTTGGCAATTAGAGCCGGTTATTTGACTCTCAGCTATTTTCTCAAAAGGATATAAACAGGAATGACAGGAGCAACTGCTGGTGCCTTATAATAAACCATCTAACAAGAAAAGCCTTTTCATGAAGACTCAGAATTTCTCTCTAGGAGCAGATGAAGCAAATCACATATTAAAGATTCTAAGGGCACTTCTACCCGTCATTGCTTTTACATTTATTCCTTAATTAATTTATTAGGTTTATATTCCACCTTTATTGCTTTATAAGTAATTGAAGGCAGCAGACATACATCGCACTCCTTCCTCCTTCTCTCTTTCCCCACAACAACCGTCCTGTGAGGTGAGCTGGACTGAGAGAGAGAGTGACTGATCCAAAGTCACCCAGGCTTTCACGTCTAAGGAGGGGTTAGAACTCAGTCTTGAGGTTTCCAGGTCAGCACCTTACCCCTACACCAGTGGTGGCGAACCTATGGCATGCGTGCCAGAGGCGGCACTCAGAGCCCTCTCTGTGGGCACATGCGCCATGCCCCAGAGATAGTAACCATCCCTCTTCAACCAGCTGCCTGCTAACTCGCTGAGGTCCCACATGGCCAGATGCATCCCAGCACCCATGCGCTCGCTGGCCTCTGTGTGCAGGGGCTGATGGTGTCAGGCAGCAGCCACCCCGGCCCGTCTCACCTTGCCCTGTGATAATGGCACCCCCACCTTGCCTCGCCTCACCCTGCAGGACGAGCCTCCTGCCCACCGCCCCACCTGCCAAAGACCCCCTGGATCTCCCCCAACCATGCCCAGCCCCCACAGGTGTCCCTCCCCACAAGCAACATCAAGGTGATCACTACCCCCTTGGCCACACCCACCCAATCTGCCATGACCACCACAGCCACTCCCACCGAGTGGGCCACCCCCACCTGGCACCCGGCGATAAATAAGTGGGTTTTGGGTTGCAGTTTGGGCACTCGGTCTCTAAAAGGTTCGCCATCACTGCCCTACACCAAACTCACTCTCATTCTTTGGAGGGCATCTCTGCACAAGGCAATTCAAGACTTTTGTAAATCCCAGAGGTTTTTTTTAAATATAGTTATTAAACTCTGCAGAATACCATTTTGTCATAGGAGGAACTCTGCTTTACTCCTCCTGAGTTTTAACCTTATCACAGGCACTTTAACAGGTATGCTAATTGAGATGAGATGGACTTATCTGCCTTCTGTTTCTTTTTGACTGGAGATGTGAAGACATGGAGAGCATTAAGCTGCCTGAGTTTTTTTAAACTTTCCCTTTGCATTCAGTAAAGAGATGTGGGATATTCCAGTGCCTTTTCTATAATTTCCTTTGACCAGTGGTGGGATTCAAATATGGGAACAACCGGTTCTCTGTGTGGATGCCGCTTCCGGAAGTCCATTCTGTGTCTGGGCAACAAAAAATTAGCTACCGGTTCTGCCGAACTGGTGCGAACTGGCTGAATCCCACCACTGCCTTTGACCTAAAAAGTATGATTTAGAATTTATTGTTTCTTTTTTCTCTACTACTACAGTCTGAAACCCTAGTTTGAAACATTGTGAAAGTGTGGTGTTTTTTTTTAATGTCTCAAGTCAATGTTGATTCTTGGTGATTGCCTGGACCAGACCCTGCAGTTCTCTTGGCAAGATTTTAGAAGTGATTTGCCCAAGGTGGAATTAGAATCCACCACCTCTCAGTTTCTAACCGAGTGCCTTAACCCCTACACCAGGGGTAGGCAACCCTGGCTCTTTTATGCCTACCCCTGCCCTACACCAAACTAGCCCTCTACTGGGACAATGCTTAGTTGAAAAAATGATGACATACTACTACTTTCACAGCTTTCACTGGAATTTTTCATAAAAAAAAGAATAATATTTTATTTATTTATTTTATTTATTAAATTTATATACCGCCCTATCTCCCTTGCGGGACTCAGGGCGGTGAACAGGCGATACTAAAAACCACGAATAAATAAATAGTTTCTGTTTTAAAATCGAATTAAATAATAGGCCTGTTCTAAAAACACACCCATACAAAACCCCCCACTGAAACACAATCCAAACTATGCCAGGCCGGCCGCACGGAATAGATGGGCCTTCAGGACTCGGCGAAAAAGGCGCAGGTCCGCAACTGTACGTAGGTCGGGGGGTAGGTCATTCCAGAGGGCAGGAGCTGCCACAGAGAAGGCTCTCCCCCTGGGGGTCGCCAGCCAGCATTGTCTGGCCGACGGCACTCTAAGAAGGCCCTCTCTGTGGGAGCGGACTGGTCGAAGGGAGGTGTTTGGTAGGAGGCGGTCTTGCAAATACCTAGGTCCATTGCCATGGAGCGCTTTAAAAGTTGTTACTAACACCTTGAAGCGCACC